ATTCTTATAATTCATGGTAGTATGTTTAGTGGCGGTCCTACTAAACACTGCTAAGGACTGCTAAGGACCGCTAAGGGACTGCTAAGGACTGCTAAGGAGCCACAAAGGACTACTAAAGAGGCACAAAGGACCTTCAAATACCTCCTAGGCCATTCTTATATTACATGATATTATTTTTAGTTGAAAAAAAAATTATAATTTAAGAAAAAATATGATTTTGGTGAAAATTTTATGAGTTGTCGGACCGCTAAGGGGGACTGCTCAGGATACACAAAAGACTGCTAGGGAGGCACAAAGGACCTTAAAATACCTCCTAGGGCATTCTTTAATACAAAGTAGTATGTTTAGTGACAAAAATGTATTATTTTAAGAAAAAATATCATTTTAGTGATAAAAATTTATGTTTTTGAAGTGTTGTCGGACCGCTAAGGACTGCTCAGGTTGCAAAAAGGACTGCTAAGCAGGCACAAAGACCTAATAAATATTTCCTAGGGAGGCACAAAGGACCTTAAAAAAAACTGTTGGGCATTCTTATAATTCATGGTAGTATGTTTAGTTGACAAAAAATGTATAATTTTTTTAGGAATAATATCATTATAGTGATAAAATTCATGTTTTTGAAGAGTTGTCGGACCGCTAAGGACTGCTCAGGTGCACTAACAACTGCTAGGGAGGCACAAAGGACCTTCAAATCCCTACTAGAACATTCTTTATAATATATGGTTTAGTAATGTTAATAGACAAAAATGTATTATTGTAAGAAAAAATAATAATTTTGGTGATAGAGATTTATGCTTTCGATGATTTAGTTTGCCGGACCGCTAAGGACTGCTCAGTTGCGAAAAGGACTGCTAGGCAGGCACAAGACCTATAAATATTTCCTAGGGAGGCACAAAGGACCTTAAAATAACTGTTGGGGCATTCTTATAAATTCATGGTAGTATGTTTAGTGACAAAAAAATGTATAATTTTAAGAAAAAATATCATTTTAGTGATAAAATTCATGTTTTTGAAGAGTTGTCGGACCGCTAAGGACTGCTCTGGTGCACTAACAACTGCTAGGGAGGCACAAAGGACCTTCAAAATCCCTCCTAGAACATTCTTATAATATATACAGTAGTAAGTTAATAGACAAAAATGTATTATTGTAAGAAAAAAAATAATTTTGGTGATAGAATTAATGCTTTCGATGAGTTGCCGGACCGCTAAGGAGCTGCTCAGATACACAAAAGACTGCAAGGGAGGCACAAAGGACCTTTAAAATACCTCCTAGGGCATTCTCTATAATACAAGGTAGTATGTTTAGTGACAAAAAATGTATTATTTTAAGAAAAAAATATCATTTTAGTGATAAAATTCATGTTTTTGAAGAGTTGTCGGACCGCTAAGGACTGCTCAGGTGCACTAACAACTGCTAGGGAGGCACAAAGCACCTTCAAATCCCTCCTAGAACATTTTATAATATATGGTAGTAAGTTAATAGACAAAAATGTATTATTGTAAGAAAAATATAATTTTGGTGATAGAATTTATGCTTTCGATGAGTTGCCGGACCGCTAAGGACTGCTCAGGTGCGAAAAGGACTGCTAGGCAGGCACAATGACCTATAAATATTTCCTAGGAGGCACAAAGGACCTTAAAATAACTGTTGGGGTATTCTTATAATTCATGGTAGTATGTTTAGTGACAAAAAATGTATAATTTTAAGGAAAAATATCATTATAGTGATAAAATTCATCATGTTTTTGAATTTGAAGAGTTGTCGGACCGCTAAGGACTGCTCAGGTGCACTAACAACTGCTAGGGAGGCACAAAGGACCTTTAAATCCCTCCTAGAACATTCTTATAATATATAGTAGTAAGTTAATAGACAAAAATGTATTATTGTAAGAAAAAATATAATTTTTGGTGATAGAATTTATGCTTTCGATGAGTTGCCGGACCGCTAAGGACTGCTCAGGTGCGAAAAGGACTGCTAGGCAGGCACAAAGACCTATAAATATTTCCTAGGGAGGCACAAAGGACCTTAAAATAACTGTTGGGGCATTCTTATAATTCATGGTAGTATGTTTTAGTGACAAAAATGTATCATTTTAAGAAAAAATATCATTTTAGTGATAAAATTCATGTTTTTGAAGAGTTGTCGGACCGCTAAGGACTGCTCAGGTGCACTAACTATTAACTTACTACTATATATTATAAGAATGTTCTAGGAGGGATTTGAAGGTCCTTTGTGCCTCCCTAGCAGTTGTTAGTGCACCTGAGCAGTCCTTAGCGGTCCGACAACTCTTCAAAAACATGAATTTTATCACTAAAATGATATATTTTCTTAAAATTATACATTTTTTGTCACTAAACATACTACCATGAATTATAAGAATGCCCCAACAGTTATTTTTAAGGTCCTTTGTGCCTCCCTAGGCAATATCAAAATTATAGGTCTTTGTGCCTGCCTAGCAAGTCCTTTTCGTACCTGAGCAGTCCTTAGCGGTCCGGCAACTCATCGAAAGCATAAATTCTATCACCAAAATTATATTTTTTCTTACAATAATGCATTTTTGTCTATAATCTTACTACCATATTTTATAAGAATGTTCTAGAAGGGATTTGAAGGTCCTTTGTGCCTCCCTAGCAGTTGTTAGTGCACCTGAGCAGTCCTTAGCGGTCCGATAACTCTTCAAAAACATGAATTTTATCACTTTAATGATATTTTTCCTTAAAATTATACATTTTTTGTCACTAAACATACTACCATGAATTATAAGAATGCCCCAACAGTTATTTTAAGGTCCTTTGTGCCTCCCTAGGAAATATTTATAGGTCTTTGTGCCTGCCTAGTAGTCCTTTTCGCACCTGAGCAGTCCTTAGCGGTCCTGCAACTCATCGAAAGCATAAATTCTATCACCAAAATTATATTTTTTTCTTACAATAATACATTTTTGTCTATTAACTTACTACCATATATTATAAGAATGTTCTAGGAGGGATTTGAAGGTCCTTTGTGCCTCCCTAGCAGTTGTTAGTGCACCTGAGCAGTCCTTAGCGGTCCGACAACTCTTCAAAAACATGAATTTTATCACTAAACATACTACCATGTATTATAAGAATGCCCTTACAGGTATTTTAAGGTCCTTTGTGCCTCCTTAGGAAATATTTTAAGGTCCCTAGCAGTCTTTTGTGTATCTGAACAGTCCTTAGCGGTCCGGCAACTCTTCAAAAACATGAATTTTATCACTTTAATGATATTTTTCCTTAAAATTATACATTTTTTGTCACTAAACATACTACCATGAATTATAAGAATGCCCCCAACAGTTATTTTAAGGTCCTTTGTGCCTCCCTAGGAAAATATTTATAGGTCTTTGTGCCTGCCTAGTAGTCCTTTTCGCACCTGAGCAGTCCTTAGCGTCCTGCAACTCATCGAAAGCATAAATTCTATCACCAAAATTATATTTTTTTCTTACAATAATACATTTTTGTCTATTAACTTACTACCATATATTATAAGAATGTTCTAGGAGGGATTTGAAGGTCCTTTGTGCCTCCCTAGCAGTTGTTAGTGCACCTGAGCAGTCCTTAGCGGTCCGACAACTCTTCAAAAACATGAATTTTATCACTAAACATACTACCATGTATTATAAGAATGCCCTTACAGGTATTTTAAGGTCCTTTGTGCCTCCTTAGGAAATATTTTAAGGTCCCTAGCAGTCTTTTGTGTATCTGAGCAGTCCTTAGCGGTCCGGCAACTCATCGAAAGCATAAATTCTATCACCAAAATTATATTTTTTTCTTACAATAATACATTTTTGTCTATTAACTTACTACTATATATTATAAGAATGTTCTAGGAGGGATTTGAAGGTCCTTTGTGCCTCCCTAGCAGTTGTTAGTGCACCTGAGCAGTCCTTAGCGGTCCGACAACTCTTCAAAAACATGAATTTTATCACTAAAATGATATATTTTCTTAAAATTATACATTTTTTGTCACTAAACATACTACCATGAATTATAAGAATGCCCCAACAGTTATTTTAAGGTCCTTTGTGCCTCCCTAGGCAATATCAAAATTATAGGTCTTTGTGCCTGCCTAGCAGTCCTTTTCGTACCTGAGCAGTCCTTAGCGGTCCGGCAACTCATCGAAAGCATAAATTCTATCACCAAAATTATATTTTTTCTTACAATAATGCATTTTTGTCTATAATCTTACTACCATATTTTATAAGAATGTTCTAGAAGGGATTTGAAGGTCCTTTGTGCCTCCCTAGCAGTTGTTAGTGCACCTGAGCAGTCCTTAGCGGTCCGATAACTCTTCAAAAAACATGAATTTTATCACTTTAATGATATTTTTCCTTAAAATTATACATTTTTTTGTCACTAAACATACTACCATGAATTATAAGAATGCCCCCAACAGTTATTTTAAGGTCCTTTGTGCCTCCCTAGGAAATATTTATAGGTCTTTGTGCTTGCCTAGTAGTCCTTTTCGCACCTGAGCAGTCCTTAGCGGTCCTGCAACTCATCGAAAGCATAAATTCTATCACCAAAATTATATTTTTTTCTTACAATAATACATTTTTGTCTATTAACTTACTACCATATATTATAAGAATGTTCTAGGAGGTATTTTAAGGTCCTTTGTGCCTCCCTAGCAGTCTTTTATGTATCTGAGCAGTCCTTAGCGGTCCGACAACTCATAAAATTTTCACCAAAATCATATTTTTTCTTAAAATTATAATTTTTTTTCCACTAAAAATAATACCATGTAATATAAGAATGGCCTAGGAGGTATTTGAAGGTCCTTTGTGCCTCTTTAGTAGTCCTTTGTGGCTCCTTAGCAGTCCTTAGCGGTCCTTAGCAGTCCTTAGCAGTGTTTAGTAGGACCCAGGTAATTAACTGTTTGCAGTATTTTATGTCAAGCTAAATTGTCAACAAACTGGAAATTTGCCATGACGTCATATACCGGAAATATACGTAATTTAACTGGTTCCCTGCCCAATATATTTTCTAAATTGTAAGAGGCTGGCATTCAGATATCATGTCAGGAACCATACTAACCACCTTACGGAATAAGGCGGACAGAACCGGGGATTACCGAGTGTAAGGATAAGCCGGTTTAAATGAAATGCTAAAATCATGACTGTTTTAATTGGTAATTATAAGTTCACATACATTTAAAAATATTTCAATGTTATTTATTGTTCTAGTATTTAAGGCTTTTGCAGTGCCATTACTTATTTTGAGTGTTGCATAACTCACTCTAATAGGATTATGTTCGCCCATCAAACTTTCGTACTCGTACTTGGGCAGATATTTACAGGATGCAGGATTCTGCATCCTTATAGTCCAATTAAATCCCAACTGGGAGGCTCAATTTTTTACCTCTTGAATTCGACTGGATGCAGAAAAATATAATACTTGTTTCATAAAAATTGCATTAACAACTGATTAATGCAGTTCATAAGTGTAATCTAGTCCAGCTTATTGTACTGCACGACAAGATAAAATTGTGCGATTTTGTGCCTGGGTTATATATTGTCTAGAAGCAAGATTCTGACCCAGAACGAAAATATCTAGCTTGGCACGTCAATATATTTTGACTATTAAAAGTGTAAACTTGCATCATGTAAGATTTAGAGACAGAGCGCCATTTGTCAGGCAACGGCACTGGGGGTGGACAGAAGATCAAGACAGGGCGGACTGAGGTTTGAGAGGAGGCGGATCATGCATTAATTTTAAATTCAATATACATCATCGTAACATCACAATTTTGTTTCAATATATTATATCATAAAGTTGTCTTATATTGGTCCTGATGAAGATCAATTTAATTAATTGTAATGATCAAAACTAGTAGACTTTATTAATTTATATTTAATATCAACCTATTAGGTGCTTTCTCTTACTCCTCCTCTGTCTTCAGTTTATATATTAAAGCAGTTTATCACTTTTGAAAAAAATGTATTCAAAATAAGTCACCAATTATAAAAGTTGAATGATACTGAGCAGTGTTCGAAATTAGCAGTAGTCCTATAGCCCCCGACTACTAATTTTGCCTGGGGCTACCAACTTTTCACAGTAAAAAGCCCGACCAGGCTACTGTATTTTCATAGGCAATATAAACAACTGTTTTGAACAAATGAATCGTGCTAGTGAAATGTCTTTTGGGCTAGTGAATATTCCAATCTGGTAGTCCGACCAGCCTAGTCGATTCAAATCCTAATTTCTTACACTGATACTGATATATATTCTATACCTTAATTCTTTTGTCATATGTACAACAGATACTGTTATTTTCAATATTGTAATATAGATATTTTATTGTTTGACTTTGACACAATAATTTATAACCATGTTAAGGATGAGGAGCGAAATGCTCAAATCTAAAAAAAAAGATTCATGTTCAATTGTTCATATAGAATATAAAATAAATGTAAGTTTTCACAAAATCATCTTTTGTACATACTATGTTTTCAGGAGGAGGTAGAGGATTTGTCGGCAAACATTTGACCAAAGTTTTGAAAAATAATGGATATGATGTGACAATAATTTCAAGGCAGGCAGCAAAAGGTCAAATAACATGGGTATGAAAGATACATCAAAATAGTTCTTATTTATTTCCTCAAGTAACATGTGTCTATATAAACCCTCTGAATGCCGACAAAGAAATAAGGACTGTCCTTATATATAGCGCTAATTAAAGCCAGTTTTACCTACATATAATTATGTGCAGTTTCACCACCACACTATATGCTGTTGACTGCACCATTTAAGATTTTTTTCTATTAAAAAAATACAACCCTTGAAAAAACAATGACCACTTAATAATTTATAGAAAAGTAAGTTAATTTCACAAATGAAGGCAATTATATCACTTTAAATGTTTAGTGTTTGTAATAATAATATAAAAAGCAGTCATATTACATGTTGTTTTTTTTTTCTCAGTTATTTATACTTTTAGTTTAATCTATTTTTAGTCAGAAGTGGAAAGGAATGGACTACCAAATGATTGTAAAGCAGTGGTAAATGTTGCTGGTGAAAACATTCTCAATATGTTGAAAAGGTATTTATTCTATTCTTACCATTTAGATAATTATGATGCCCCAAAGGGCAGTGTGGCATATAGTTTTAGAATTGTCTCTCCATCTTTTTGTTTGTGTATCTGTTTACATTTTGTCTGGACCATAACTGTGGTGATATATTGATGGATTTTGAAATAATTTGCATAACTGTGAAGCACATTGAGATGATTTGTCGCAAGCAAGACCAGGGTCTGTAGTTCAAAGGTTAAGGTCACACTTTGACTTGAAAGAAATTTTCATAAAAGTTCATTGATGGTGGGTTTTTGGTCACTAATTCTGTCATTCCAGAATGGATTTTAAAATAATTTGGCATAAATGTGTTGAATATGATAAAGATATGTCACGCACAAAAATATCAAATCATGAAATGCCATTTTATTAACAGCTTATTGACAATTGTTGGCCATGTCGAGTCAGTAATATTGTTATTCCTGGATGATTTGTAAAATAACTTAGTATAAATGTGTTAGACATGATGACAACATGTCACACAAAAATCAGGTATCCTTGCTCAAAGTTTTTTTTTTAAAAGTTCAAAGTCATTTATGAAATTTTTATAAAAGTCAGGGCTTTTTTTCACAGTTTGGGGAAGCAGCCCAGCCCTTAATTTTGGGGAAAAATTACATGGTATATTTGCAAAAGGGGAAGAAAAAACTAAATGCAAATTCAATTTTTGGGGAAAACTGCATGATTTCAAAGAAATTTTCTTTGGGGAAGCAGCCCTATAGGTAAAAAGGCCCTGAAAGTGCAATTTGATTGTGGTGAAAGGTCAACCGTTCTGTCATTCCTGGATGGATTTTTAGCTCGACTATTTGATAAGAATAAGTAGAGCTATTGCAGTCACCCGAGCGTCGGCGTCCGCGTCGGCGTCGGCGTAACCACTTATGTTAAAGTTTTTGTAATAGTTCAAATATTTTCAAAGTCCATTGACATATGGCTTTGAAACTTTGCACACTTGTTCACCATCATGACCCCAACCTGTAGACAGGAGGAGGTAACTCTATCAAGCATTTTGACAGAATTATGCCCCTTTTTCGACTTAGAATTTACGTTAAAGTTTTTGTAATAGTTCAAATATTTTCAAAGTCCATTGACATATGGCTTTGAAACTTTGCACACTTGTTCACCATCATGACCCCAACCTGTAAACAGGAGGAGGTAACTGTATCAAGCATTTTTTAGCTCGACTATTCGCAGAATAATCGAGCTAATGCAGTCGGCGTCGGCGTCCCTGTGGTTAAGTTTTTGTATGTAAGCTGGTATCTCCATAACTACTGAAGGGAATGGATTGAAACTTCACAAACTTGTTCTCTGTGATTATCTAAGATGTTTGGCACAAGTCCCATAACTCTGAATTGTTTTATTTCATAATTATGCCCCTTTTTCGACTTAGAAAATCTTGGTTAAGTTTTTGTATGTAAGCTGGTATCTCCATAACTACTGAAGGGAATGGATTGAAACTTCACACACTTGTTCTCTGTGATTATCTAAGATGATTGGCACAAGTCCCATAACTCTGATTTGCTTTTTTTCATAATTATGCCCCTTTTTCGACTTAGAAATTCTTGGTTAAGTTTTTGTATGTAAGCTGGTATCTCCATAACTACTGAAGGGAATGGATTGAAACTTCACACACTTGTTCTCTGTGATTATCTAAGATGATTGGCACAAGTTCCATAACTCTGGTTTGCTTTTTTTCATAATTATGCCCCTTTTTCGACTTAGAAATTCTTAGTTAAGTTTGTGTATGTAAGCTGTTATCTCCATAACTACTGAAGGGAATTGATTGAAACTTCACACACTTGTTCTCTGTGTTTATCTAAGACAATTGGCACAAGTACCATAACTCTGATTTGCTTTTTTACATAATTATGCCTCTTTTTCGACTTAGTAATTCTTGGTTAAGTTTTTGCGTGTAAGCTGGTATCTCCATAACTACTGAAGGGAATGGATTGAAACTTCACACACTTGTTCTCTGTGATTATCTAAGATAATTGGCACAAGTCCCATAACTCTGATTTGCTTTTTTACATAATTATGCCCCTTTTTTGACTTAGAAATTCTTGGTTAAGTTTTTGCATGTAAGCTGGTATCTCCATAACTACTGAAGGTAATGGATTGAAACTTCACACACTTGTTCTCTCTGATTATCTTAGATGATTGGCACAAGTCCCATAACTCGGATTTGCTTTTTAACATAATTATGCCCCTTTTTCGACTTAGAAATTTTTGGTTAAGTTTTTGCGTGTAAGCTGGTATCTCCATAACTACTGAAGGGAATGGATTGAAACTTCACACACTTGGTCTCTTTGATTATCTAAGGTGATTGGTACAAGTCCCATAACTCTGAATTGTTTTATTTCATAATTATGCCCCTTTTTCGACTTAGAAAATCTTGGTTAAGTTTTTGTATGTAAGCTTGTATCTCCATAACTACTGAAGGGAATGTATTGAAACTTGAAGAGTTTGTACCTTTTCGGACAATTTTATGTATTCATATAGGTAAGCATTATTATACTCAATGAAACACCCTTGTGACAAATTTTCGAATAGTCGAGCTTTACTGTCCTCCGACAGTTCTTGTTTACTATCAAGCACTAAGAATAGTCGAGCGTTGCTGTCCTACCGACAGCTCTTGTTAAATAACTTGACATAAATGTGTTTCAACAAGATAACTGTGTGTTGTATCAGCAGCACAAAGGACAAGGTCACACTTGTATGTTCAGTCATATAAGTGAATAATAGAATAGGTCCTATCTGTTTCAAGATATTATCATTCATGGGCTGATTTGAAATACTGTGAAACCATTCAATTTTACTGGCATAAAATTTTCTTTCAAATAGCATTTAATAGCAAGTTTTTGTTGATCTTAAACTCATGATTCCAAATTTAAAAAAAAATATGTATATAAATATAAACATTATATACATAAATAAATATTGAAAATTTGTTCAATACTTTCAGTTTCTTTTAAATATTTTGAATATGGCATGTAATTTTGTCAGTCAGTGTAGCCCACTTAAATAAACAGTCTCACATGTCAAACTCTTAATTGGCATAGAGTAACACAAAACTTTGTATACTAGAAATTTGTGGTAGAATATCAAAAGATTAAAATAATTGTCTTATTTTAATTGTAATGTATTCTTATGACTTGAATTATAAGTTAAAGCAGCATGCCACCAGATTCATGCTAATTTTCATGAAAATTTAAAAAATGTATTTAAAAGTAAAATATTGTGAAGTGAAAATAGAAAATAATTTACACATTGCCAACAGTTCTTGCAATCCACATAAATTTCCAAAAAGAGGTCAAAATAAGCAAAATTAGCTCTTTCTACATTAGTCACACAATAGCAATATGGTGATAAATACTGCAAAATCAGCCCTTAATCGCATTTAACATGTAAATCATTACTTGAATCTTGAAACATTTTACTTTTCTTAAAATTTTAGCACATTTTCCTCAAATTAAATTTTCTTTAAATGTTTCGGCTCATCTGGAGGCATGCAGTTTTAAAGTAACACTACCAGACTGAAAATAAAGATATATTGCAGAGGTTTTCAGCAGATTAACACAACCTGACCTTTATGATACTGATTACTAACACTGAATGTATACAAGACTGGATTTTTAATACCACAACACAATGTGCTTACTCAGCTATACGAAGTGACCAATAAGTATCCAATTAAGGCATGTACCAGTCTATTTTAAATTGCTTTCATAATTAAATTATTAAGAAACTTCACCAAATTGAGTCATTTTGTGCAATTAATATTTGCTTCATTATACAAGTATTTCTAAAAATTGCTCTACTGGATTCCTAGCAGTTCCGGCCCATAGCATTTTTCTGGCCCTTACTAATTTTCGTCCAGTATGGTCTATTTTTACCAGTAGGGGATGCTTTCATGTAAGGAAGCTATCCAGCTAGCGTACGGAACGTCGGTGGTTCTACTCAGGTGCCCGTTCGTGCCTGAAATAATGCACGGAAGGGCACCTGAGGTTTTCCTCCACCAGTAAAGCTGGAACATCTCGATACGACCTATACTGTGTCGATGTGACGAAAAAACCCAAACAAACAAAACCGGTAGGGGATCTATGTTACTTCATTAAATCAGAGAGACATCTGTTTTCTATGCAACTGTATGTTTTAAAGATTTGTCTGTTGTTTAAAGTTATCTTAGAGCTGGACAGGTACCTAAGTTTGATCTGTCAAAGTTTTGTACTCGTCCATAGACAGATTTTTATTGTCCCCTACCGGTTTAACCGTCTGTCTGTCAGTCCGTCCGTCCACAAAACTGGATCCCGCGATAACGCAAAAAGTACTGAAAATATTTTTATGAAACTTGATATATGGATAGATGGCAGTATGGAGATTATGCACGTCTTTTTCTTTTCTTCCTATGTTGAAAATTCTGGTTGCTATGGCAACAAATAGTCTGAAAATATGGCAAATTTAACACATAAACTGGATCCAGTGATAACTCGAAGTACTGAAAATATTTTTATGAAACTTGAAATATGGATAGATGGCAGTCTGCAGATTATGCACATCTTTTTCTTTTCTTCGTATGTTAAAAATTCTGGTTATTATGGCAACAAATAGCCTGAATTTCAAGATTTCTGATTTAAATTTTTCAGCTTTTTCACTAAAAGTTCTTTATTTCTTAAGGTGTTTACTTCAAACTTTAAATATAAGTTTCTGGTCATCAACCACATCATATGTGACAAGGTTTACAACTCTAGCACAAAAATTATCAGTATTACCTCCCTTGAACTTAGAATTTTTATGAAAAAAAACGTCTTTTTTAAATAACTTCTTTATTTCCTAATGTATCTACTTCAAACTTCATATATATATGTTTCTTATTATCACTCAACATTTTTGAGAAGGTTAAATACTTTAGCAAGACTATTTCCAGAATTATGTCCCCCTTGAACTTAGATTTTTTTTGAGAAATTGGTATTTTTTACTCCAACTTCTTCATTCCTTATAGGATTTACTTTAAAATCCCACATCGTAATAATATGACAAGGTTGTATAAACATAATTTCCTTACTAGGCAGGGAAACTTAACACATTACTGTGAAATAGACAAACTTAGAACTCAAAGGATTTAAATTCATTCGTGTCATTTATTCACTGGTAAAATTGAAATCAGAATGTTGCTGGGGTTCTAACCGGTATCGGACTTATGGATTGCTTGCAATACTATGATAATTGCTTGTTTTATTTGTTAAAAAGTGCAATTTGGGGCCAGACACTGCTAGGAAAACAGTAGACTTACTTACAGACGATTTCTGAGATTGCAAAGTCTAGTTGAAAACTGGTAGGAGTTATCTGAAAACACAACTGTAAAGTCAGCCAATACATATTAGTATAATTAGGTCTCATCCAATACAATGTGTAATTATGTACATAATTATATGATAAAAATGCACATTCAATAAAACTTACAAAACATGTAAATGGTCACACTTAAAAAGAACTATATTACAAATATTTTACAAGTATCATAATATACAATTCACATTTAAATGGTTAGATTACCATTACTCATCAAAGTGTGTAAAATCTACATTAGTAAATTATAATTTCCACACATGACACTTCAAACATTTTTAATTTTTAAGCCTAGCACTGAAAGGTATTTTATATAGTCATATATCAACTTTGATCAAATCAAAGGTGAGCAGATTAGTAATGATTATTTGACTGCTAAGAAAAACAAAACCAGTAAAAGTAAATATACAACATAATTTTTCCTATTTATAAAGGTACTCAGATAAAAAATATGTGGATGAGATCTGGAAGAGTAGAGTTGGCACATCAAAAATTCTGGCTAATGCTATCAAAGAAGCCGAGAAGAAACCAGAGTCATTTGTTACCATGTCAGGAGTTGGTATGTAAATGTATATGTGTAAAAAGTATTTAGTTTATACAAGATTAAAACTTGGTAACCTTTGGTCAAAACTAGGTCGCAATGTCAAATCTGTGCAAGACAGACCATGCAATCCTTCTAGAAGTCACTGTTTTATTTGGATCTACTTCATTTTTATAAGAATGTATATATGTTTATATTAACTTGAAACACTGAGACCCAGGTGAACAAACAAAGGCCTTGATGCTCTCTTGTTGATGTTATTACCCTTTGTAACTCTAAAATAGGGATTTATAATATTAGTCTACTGTATCTGGTCTAAATACTGAAGTGCTAGTCTTGGCATAAAGTGAATTATTCACATAAACAGACAACGTTTGCGTGCTATTGAGTTACAACTTAGAAATATCTTCTTTTTTTTTTAAATTTTTAATCATGCCAAATATTTAATTGCTTTGATAGATTTTTGTACTTGGATATTGACCATTTGGCCATGAGCCCATTTTGGCTGAGGGGTTGCCTTTAATGTTTGAGGCATTTGAATTGCAGCCACCATTTATCCCTGCGTGATTGTAGTAGGCAACATCTTATATGGAGTCTATGCATCTCTTAGCTCTGGCAGGCAAGGTGGTTTTGACCCTGGTGTTGCTTTGGAGTTTGTTACACCCGAGGTTTGACAAAATCATCTTTCCTACCGGTATTCTAGTGCATCATAAAACCAAACAAACAAAGAGGGCTTTAATAGCCCTTATACCACTCACATGATTATTAGGAACAAGTTAACTATGAATAAAAAGTGAATATAAGTTCTTAATCTTGAATTAATATCATAACATTTATATCTGCATCTGAAATAGTACAAGTGTAAACAAGACTTTCCATATTTGGGCTGTGTGACCTAGTTTTTGACCGCAGATGACCAATATTCAAACTTGAATGCCTCACCACAGTGTCATAATAATGTTTTAATGTCATTACAAGTATATCTTATAGGATTTCATATACTTATAAAACTCTGCTCAATTTTACAGACATGGTATCATTATAAGTGAAAATTTGTCATTTTCATTCATATTTTGAGGTACAAAAAACTAAATATCTTCAATCAAGTTATTTATATCACACTTTGAGGAATATATTCAATGAAGAATTATGCTTGTTTATATATGAGAAGCTTTTAAGTAAGACAATGTGCTTATAAGTAGAATTTCACAAAATTATCTGTTTTAATGTGTATCTGATGACAGCTTAAATTTTGATGAAAGCTATGAACACACTACAAGCTTTTATACTTTAGTAGGTAAGTAAGTAAGTAAGTAAGTAAGTAAAGTCTTTATTTACTGAGGCTACACATTTGGTTTCCCAATCTTCCATGTGGGCCTCAAAACATAAATATACATAAAATATACATAATTTACATAATGGTTATACAGCAAAATTTTCAAATAACATACATGAAGACACAAAATGCATAATATATACATGAAAACACAACAAAAACAATGTACATTCAAACAAAATACATATTCAAAACACAATGCATGTACATATATTATTAATACTTAATCTATGCAAGACCAAGGTACTTATGTGAAATTCCAACTGATATAGGAAGCTTGGAATTTTCTAATAGTTTCAGATTTACGAATAGAATAAGGGATATTGTTCCATAGATTAGGGCCTGAATATGTCAGAGATTTTCTAAAAATTTCTTTTTTAGGTTGTGGCACAAATAAATCTGAGTTTTTTGCTGACCTAAGGTTATGCTCATGTCTTTGATGAATAAATTGAAATTTGTTTTTCATGTACTGTGGAAATGAGGCATTGTTTAAAGATTTATACATAATGACAGCTTTTTTGTATCTTATTCTTTCATCAAATTTTATCCAATTTAATTCATTAAATAACTCAGCAGATGGAGCATCGTAGCTTTTGTCAAGAATGATTCTTGCAGCTCTTTTCTGAAATTTTATGATATCCAAAATCTGTTCATTGTTACAATTCCCCCAGACTGTACAACAATAATCTAAATGTGGTAAGATATAAGCATTAAAGAACAGTTTTCTTGCATTTACATCAAGGTATTGTTTAATTCGGAGAAGAAGGTACAACTGTGTATTGCATTTCTTTAATGTCTTGTCTACTTGGGTTTTCCACTTAAGATTATTGTCAACATGAATACCTAGTAACTTTTCTGTCTCAGAAAATTCAATTTCATGTTCTTGCAGATGTAATGGTTGTAATTGTTGTTTATTTCTATTGGATGACAGGTTCATTGCTTTTGTTTTCTGGGCATTTAGCATCATTGCATTTTGTTTGCACCATAGATTAATATTGTCAAGGTCAGTTTGAAGTTTATTATGTAAATCTTGTGTAGAGAGACCTGATGCTGTGAGAGTAGTGTCATCAGCAAAAAGATCTGCCTCTGAGGTTTTCAAATGGAGTGGTAGATCATTTATGTACATGATGAAAAGCAGAGGTCCAAGGACAGATCCTTGAGGTACCCCTGATATGACTGTTGCTGATTTTGATAGGTTGCCAGATACAGTGACCTTCTGTGTTCTATTTTCAAGATATGATGTAAACCAGGTAATTGCACCAGAAGAAATATGATAGTAATAAAGTTTTTGGATGAGTAACTTATGATTTACAAGGTCAAATGCCTTTGACAAGTCAAGAAAGATTGTGCCAATTAGCTTTCCATCATTTATTGCCTTAATCCAGTTGTCAACAATATTTGTCAATGCAGTTTCACATGAATGTTTTGTTCTAAATCCTGATTGGGTGTTGAAAATGAAATTATACAATTCTAGGAATTGTTTTAAATGATCAGACACATGTTTTTCAAATATTTTAGAAAGTATTGGAAGAACAGATATAGGTCTATAATTATTCTTATCTGATTTGTGTCCTTGTTTGAAGAATGGTGTGACCTTAGACTGTTTTAATTTTTCAGGAAATTTACCTGTTGATATACTCAAATTGATAATAGTAGAAATTGGTCTACATATAACAGGGGATGCAGTTTTTAGAAATTTAGCACTAATGCCATCAAGTCCAGTAGCCTTTGTAACATCAAGAGAATCTAATGCTTGTTTGACTTAACTTGGATCTATAGGTGGAATATCAAATTTTGGTGTATTTTGGTCAATTTTGCTGTTTAACATTTCTTTGAGTTTGTATTCATTTGCACTTGTTAGTTTTGTAATATTTTCTGCGTTTTTGAATAAATTTGAAAAAAATGTATTAAAAATTTCTGATGTCTGTTTAGGGTCATAGACTGGATTTCCACTGTCGTCATTAATGTAATTAGTTTGGTGGTTTTCAGCTTTTCCACTCAAGTCTTTTAAATTTTTCCATAGCTTTTTAGGATTTTTGTTGTTTGAAGATATCTCTTGATTAAAGAATTCTTTTTTTTGATCTGTGAGAAAGCACCTTGACTTGCGATCTCCAGTATTTAAATTCCTCAATGTTATTTCTCTTTTTTGCAAAGTCTCGTTCTTTTATTGCATTAGCTATTTCATCTGTGAACCATTCATTTTGGTTTTTGCGTTTTACCCTTTTTTGTTTATACGGAGCATGTAAATCAAAAAATTTTAGAAATAAATCGTAGAAAGTGTCAAGGGCATCATCAGGTTCTGTAAACACATCAATTAATGACCATGGTTGATTTGATAAGTCAACTAAAAAGTTTTCTGCATTGAATTTTTTTAAATACCTGTAGTTTATAGTTATATGTAATGGGCCTTTTTTGATTTTTGCATTAGTTTTCCTTGTAAAACAAATAGGGTAGTGGTCACTAATAGACATTACTGGAACAACTGTGTAGCTTATATTCTGTGGATGATTGGTGATTTGGTGTATATGTGGTCTATAATGGAAGACGTTGTTTGTGTGACTCTAGTGGGTTGTGTTATAAGTTGTTGTAAGTTGAAAGTATTGATTATTTTTTTCCATTTAGAATTAAGTGGGCTTAAATTTATAAAATTGTAGTTTAAGTCTCCTAATAGAATAATTTCTTTATTTTCAACATAAAGTGTATCTAAAATATTTTCAATCTGGTCATTCCAAGAAGCTGGCGATGATGGGGGCCTATAAATGTATCCTACAATAAAGGGTTTTTGTTTGTCAAGTTTCATTTGTACCCATATAGCCTCAATATCACTAGAATCAAGATCAGCTCTTAGTTCACATGGTAGGTTTGACTTTACATATAAAACTATTCCACCCCCGTTAGACTCTCTATCACGTCTGAAAAGTTGATAATTATTTAAATGGATTTCATTGTTTGAAAATTTGTCACTAAGGAAAGTTTCTTGCAGTCCTAGTATGTCAATATTTGGAAATTTATTAATTAAGAATTGAATTTCACTAAACTTTGGATAAAGATAATGTATGTTCAGATGCATAAAGTTAATGCCATTTCTGTCAAATTTTACGTCTTTAAGCATCATATCAGCTTGTGGTGAATCGGTATTGACATCTGATTGGTTGGGGTTTGGATCTGTGTAATTATCACTATTTTTTTCAGTACTGTTCCTTTTCATATTGATGTTATCTACATTATATACACTGTATTGAATATTATTTGATACAATTTCATGTGTAGTATTATCACTTTCTTTGAAATATTTGACAGTGTCAGCTACCACTTTGGATGCATCCAGGGATTCCATGGCCAATATCTTGGTGTTGCTGGAAAGCCCCTGTTTCGTGTATTGTAATTTCGGTTTGGATCCAGTTTTTGGTGATGTTGAGCCTTCTGAAAATTTACGGGTTTCCGTGATGAGTTCTGTTGCAATCCAAGGGATGTGCGTATAGCTTTGTTAAGTTGTTTCCCTAATACAATTGATCCTTCAGTGTTAAGATGGACTTCATCATAGAAGAGAGTTTGATTCACTTTTCCATCCTTTATCATTATACTGTCATTGTCAATAAATATGAATCCTTTTTCTGTACACATGTTTTTCAGAAGGTTATTGGTGACAGATATGTTTTCAGTAAGGTCTCTTTTCTTTGGTAGAACTGACGAAATCATTACTTTTGCCTTTGAGTTGATTCCTTGAAGTGCATGAGTAAGATTAAGAAACTCCTCACAGATATCAGTTGGTTTGTCTGCATTTGATATATTGTTTATACCAGCATGTATGATGACTATATCTGCATTCTTAATTGTTTTGGGTTGCATTTTTGGGTCAGTTATAGCTGCCTGCATGCTTTTAACAGTTGCCCCACGGTGGGATTTGATATCTACTATTGTTGAATTTGTGCTCATTTTGTCTTTACGTAATCCTTTAGTCACAGAGTCACCAAGGATCAATACTTGTTTCATACCTTGCTGGGTTTTTAACTGCCTATTGGTGTTGGTTTTCTGTTTTTCTGTGTTTTGCTCACCAGTTTGTACTTTCATGTCTTGCATGTTGATGTATGAATCTTGGGTTGTCTCTGTAACTGAGGTTTCATTGCTCTGTATTGGTTTAGAGGCTGGTAAGGTTTGTTGGTTGATTTTATCTTCTTGCTCTTTCCTTATATTCCTCACTTCACTCTGGAGTAAATATATAATTATCGGCATTTGATGGCAAATTTTCTGTTTGTTTCTTAAGCATTTCAAGATTCAGTAAGAAGTCTGACATTTTATCCTTTATATCTGCTATATACTTTCAACACAATATATCTAAATAATGTGACCTTGACCCTTATTATAATATTTAATTAGTACTACCATTAAAGTCAACTTTCACCACAACTTATTTATCAATACACTATGTATATGGGCAAAGACATTTATGATATTTGTATTTTAGGTATTTATCCGCCCAGTAAGACAGCGGAATACACAGAAGCAGTTACTGAACCAGGAAATGATTGGTTAGGAAAGTTAGCACTGGAGTGGGAGAGAGCTGGTGATTTACCAGATAATGTTCCGACAAGAAGAGTTATAATTAGATCTGGTAGGTGTGAGGGAGAAACTGTTATGTGATATCTCTTAGTACATGTATGTACTACAAAATCAGATTTACCTTGACATACATAAACATCAGATCACTTTTTCATGCATATCAGACAGGATACTGTTGACACCGGTGCTAGGAAAACCTGCTTTAGACGAATCATTTCTTGCACAATTTCTGCATTACTAAATGCACAAATCGTGCCTTTTTTTCACATTCCACTGAGTGTTACTGGATATACACTGTGTTATGCAATTTCAATGAAACTTTACAGGATTAATTGGTAGGTCAAGTACTTGTGCATAATACACAAGTTTTTCGCTGTATTGATTTTTGGCTGAGTTATTGCCCTTGATTAAAAAAGGTGATTTTTGTTTACCAGCTACACAGAAGTTTTTCTTGACTACTCCTCATAAATTACTGTCCCAGTGCAATTTCATCAAAACTTAACAAGAATGATCAGTACCATGTCTAGTTGTGCATCTCATCAACATTTTTCGATTGATTGATTTTTAGCTCACCTGTCACAAAGTGACAGGGTGAGCTTTTGTGATCGCTTTTCGTCCGGCGTCCGGCCGTCCGTCCGTAAACTTTTGCTTTAAATGACATCTCCTCATAAACCACTGAGCTAATTTCATCCAAACTTCACAGGAATGTTCCTTTGGTGGTCACCTTTAAAAATTGTTCAAAGAATTTAATTCCATGCAGAACTCTGGTTGCCATGGCAACCGAAAGAAAAATCTTTAAATATCTTCTTTTAAACAACCCTAAGAGCTAGAGCTTAGATATTTGGCATGAAACATCTACTAGTGAGTGTCTACCAAGTTTGTTCAAATAAAAGCCCTGGGGTCAAAATTGGCCCCGCCCCAGGGGGTCATTGATTTTCCCTATATGCATATAGTAAAAACTTTTAAAAATCTTCTTTTAAAGAACCCAAAGAGCTAGAGCTAAGATATTTGGCATGAAACATCTTCTAGTGAGTGTCTACCAAGTTTGTTCAAATAAAAGCCCTGGGGTCAAAATTGGCCCCGCCCCAGCGGGTCATTGATTTTCCCTATATGCATATAGTAAAAACTTAAAAAATCTTCTTTTAAAGAACCCAAAGAGCTAGAGCTAAGATATTTAGCATGAAACATGTTCTAATGGGTGTCTACCAAATTTGTTCAAATAAAAGCCCTGGGGTCAAAATTGGCCCCGCCCCGGGGGTCATTGATTTTCCTTATATGTGTATGGCAAAAACTTTAAAATCTTCTTTGAAAAAACCCATAAAGCTAGAGTTTAGATATTAAGCATGAAACATCTTCTAATCAGTGTCTACAAAGATTGTTCAGATAAAAGCCCTGGGGTCAAAATTGGCCCTGCCCCGGGGGTCATTGATTTTCCTTTTTTGTGTATAGCAAACACTTAAAAATCTTCTTTGAAAAAACCCAAATAGCTAGAGTTTAGATATTAAGCATGAAACATCTTTCAGTAAATATCTACAAAGTTTGTTCAAATAAAAGCCCGGGGATCAAAACTGGCCCTGCCCCAGGGGTGTCATTGTTTTTAACTCTTTGTGTATAGTAAAAACTTAAAAAATCTTCTTTTAAAAAACCCAATGAGCTAGAACTTAGATGTTTAGCATGAAACATCTTCTTATGGGTGTCTACCAAGTCTGTTGTCAATTTTTTGCCCTTTCTTGATTTTAATTGGGCATCCGTGGCCGAATGTTTAGGGTCGTTGACTTCAAACCACTTGCCCCTCACCGCTGTGGGTTCAAATCCAGAAAGGGACTTTGGATTCTTTCATGCGAGGAAGCTATCCAGCTAGCTTACAGAACGTCGGTGGTTCTACTCAGGTACCTGTTTGTGCCTGAAATAATGCATGGAAGGGCACATGAGGTCTTCCTTCACCAGTAAAGCAGGAACATCCCCATATGACCTATTCTCTGTCAGTATGACATAAAAGCCAATCAAACAAACATGATTTTAATTTTGGAATTTGTCTGGACTATTCCTGTAATAACACTTATGCAATTTAAATGAAACTTTACAGGATTGATTGATAGGTCATCTTTGTGCATATTACACAGGTTTTTAGGTTGAATGATTTATTTGCCGAGTTAAGGCTATCATGAGGTAACACATGTGATCACTGCTCGTTCTTGTATGTATTCATTTTATAACATTTATGTTTCTTCATTCTTTCAAGTTTATCTTGTAAAAGAGTTGAAAGTAATGATCTTAGCAATAACTTGTTGTTTTATGTTTTTGAAAGAAGTGAAGCATTTTGCTTTCCTTCCTGCTGATGTCTGTTTTATCATAATATAAGTGCTTCTATCATCTTTGATTCAGGTGTCATACTCGGGAAGGATGGAGGAATGATTGAGATGTTGAGGCCAGTATTTAAATTATTTGGTGGACAAAAAATTGGCTCAGGACAGCAGTGGTTGCCTTGGATACATGTTGATGACATGGCAGAATTGATAACATATGCTATAAAAACTGACAGTGTCTCAGGAGTGTTGAATGGAGTGGCACCAGATCTTGTTAAAAATGCAGAATTTACACAAGCTTTTGCTGCAGCATGTAGAAGACCGGCTTTTGGCTTTGTGCCAGAATTTTATATGAAATTTGCGTTTGGACCTGAAAGAGCTATGGTGGTGTTACAAGGACAAAAAGTAAAACCATCAAGAACACTTGAGAGCGGCTTCACTTATAAATATGCAACTATTCAAGATGCTTGCAAAGAATTAGTATCATAGATAATTATAATGAAAGGATTTTCTCAGCAAATATCATTATTAGAAGATGTAAGGTATTAATAATCCAGATGAATTATATCAAATGAATTTCATTGTGAAAATACAAATTAGAATGAATTTATGAAGGACATGAGATTAACTATAGATATCAAAATTACAAACACTTGTTCGATGTATAAATATAATTATGGTTACTGTCACTATTTCTTACTTTTTTTGAAGACATCCTTATAATGGAACTATTTCTTTTTGTGTTTACACAAGGTAAGGGACATTAAATCAAAATTTGAATGACTAGACATGGCTCATATAAAACAAGTTATTAAGATTTATCTGGTGTATTTGTTATTTTTGTCAGTTTAAATTTCTGCTGTAACAGGAAAGCCACATAAGATTGTAGAGCGATAATTGATTTTACAGTTTTCAACAATATAGAAAATATTGTGCTTTGGAATGTTCAATGAATTACATGCTAAACATGTATAACAGAATTATGTAATTATTTAATGCAGTGGTTATGTTGTGTTTGTATTGCTAATAGTGGTATTGTTAAGAAGTAAAATTAGAAGTATATCACAGCTTTTTCTCTCTCTGTAAAAACACCTTTAAAATAGGATCCATTTATAAAGAATGTTTTGGGTTCTAAGCTAGACTATATGATCAGTTGTCTTACTCGCAACGGCATGTCTTTGTCCATATTTCTGATTTTAGTTTTTGTACAACTTCTATACTTCTTAAGGTATTTACCTCAAACATCAAGTATATGTTCCTAATCATCAACCACATCAAATGTGACATCTGTAGAAGCAATTTTTCCAGAATTGTCTCCCTTTGATAATAGAATTTCCTTTAAAAATACTTTTTTTTTTACTCCAACTTCTGTAAATTATTAGGGATCTACTTAAAATATATGTCTCTTATCATCAACTACACCATAAGTGACCATGGTTCAGAACTCAAATAATCCCATCCCCATCCCCTTTGAACTTGAAATATAAGTTTTGAATCATCACCCAACATAAAGTATGACAGATTCAATATTTAACACAAATATTTCCAGAATTATAGGTTGTGTTAATAAATATTTTTGAAGATTTTATTAATGAATTTATAAATTTAACTCCAAAATCATAATAATATGCCAAGGTTTATTACTAGTGTCAATACTTTCAGAATTATCTCCCTTTAAACTTATAATTGTCCTTTTTGTGGGCATTTAGATAAAAAGTTACCGTGCCAGGTTCATCCGTCGGTCCTTCCCTCTGTTCTCATGTGTCACACATAGCTCAAAAAATATTTGACATAGAGCCATGAAACTACAAGAATGTTAGTTAGCATGTATAGTTGTGCACCTGGGTATTTTTATGTGAATTTATTCAGTATTTGTAGATTTATTGCCCTTGACTTAGAAAAAAAATAGGCAATTTTCAACTTGTGTCGCATTTAGCCAAAAATTGTTTAGCTTAGGTCATGAAACATTACAGGAATGTTGCTCAGCATGTGAAGTTATGCACCTTGGGTTTCGCTTGTGAATTTTTTATGTTTGGTCAAAGTTATTGCCCTTGAATTGGTAAAATTTTTGCAAATTTCAATTTGTGTCCTGCGTAGCTCAAAAGTATTTACCCTAGTCATGCAACTCAACAGGAATGTTGGCCAGGATTTGGTAGTTGTGCACCTGGGGTTTGGCTTGTGGATTTATGCAGTATTTCTAGAGTTATTGTCCCGCGCAATCCCCTATCAAATAGATACATCAAGGGGATGCCAGAGAGGGGATTTGCCCACTTCTGTTCCGGGTTTTGAAGGGGGTCGGTAGACCCCCTCATCTCCAAAAAAAGTTTGGACTTGTTAGAGGCTAACAATGGCCTCAAGTCGACCTTAAGGTAACGTCTAACCAACGCTGAAAAGCCTTTAACTCTATCTCATTTCATTGAGAAGCAGCACTTTGAAATCAGTTTTGATGGAAAAATCAAAGCAAAATAGTGATTTTTGGCAATTTTGAGATGTCCCCTCGTTGCCATGGTAACAGGAAATTTAAGATTGAGTATGCGGTTACAAAGACTATGATCCAGTCAACGTTTGTGCCAAGTTTGAACAATATTGAAGCCTATTAGCAATTTGAACTTGTAACAGGAGGCTTTTCAATGGAAACAGCCATTTTTCACAAAATGCTCATGAAGTAATGGGTTAAACAAAACAGTTTTATTTAAAAATGACATACATGTAGATCAAGCTGCACAAATGCTCACTATTTTCGTCGACGTCAGGCCTTCACATAGGGAATCGCGTGACTTTTATGGTAACGCGTACTGGCAATACGGCGGCCTAAACACCTCGCTTCACATATGTTTTTCAGGGAATTCTTTATTATATCCCTTATTTTTACATACGATACCTGCTGCAGCCTACGCTGCATAACGAATTGTTATTGCCTAAACCTTATTTTCCACCCCTCTGCTTATAGTTTTTACAAACACTCAAACATTCAACCGGAATTTTACAGGAGAATTATTTTGCAGGTAAAATTCACCCAAAATTTGTAATTTTTAAGAAATTGATAAAACAATGTCGAGTTAGCAAAGAGAAAAAGGTCATAAAATTTCTCTATTTGAAAATGTAAATTTTTAGTATTAGGCATGTTGAATGTTGACTATTTATTTTCTTTTCCAGTACAAGAGAGAAAAATGATTTGGGTAACGGACACGGGTTCCTGTTTTGTTGATAACTCCCACGCAGGCAATATCTTTTGCAAGTATAGCCTAGATATTGATATAACAAAATTAGGGTTGATGCATTTAGTCTTAAACTTCCTATTCTATGAATACCGCCAAAGAGTCTTGGATAGAATTTATAACCCCTATAGCACAGATATATATTTAGCTCCATGCCTATAGGTACTAGAATATATACTCATGTGAATATATTAAATGAAGTACGATATAGATGAATTAATCGCATAAATTAAAACAAAACTCTTAAATATTAGTAGGAGGTCTTGTATTTCAGTTTAAGCTCAAATACAGTAGTCATTTTTTCATGTTGTTTTTTTTTTTTTTTTTTGCAGATAGGAAAGGTTCCAACTTCCAGCTCGGGTATGTAGATCTCGTATGTAGATTGAAGGGATATGATAAAGAATTACCTGAAAATTACATGTGAGTCAGCGAGGTGTTTAGACCGCCATATACTGTCAGTACCCCGCGTTACCGTAAAAGTCACGTGATTCCCTACCATGGGCCTTGGCCAATATTTTGGCCAAAAGCGGGAATACACAATAACAAAAACATAAAAAACACGCATCGCTGATTAGCAATCTTACAATTAATATACAAACATGACGCTAAACAACTGGACAGGTACATTCTAGAGGGGTACTACGATGTCAAGTGTGAAGTTATCTTAAATGACAAATAATATAATTAATTGATTGATATCGACGTGGCTTCGGACAGTTTACCGTTTATCACGGATTTACATTAAATGTAATATAAATCCGTGCGTTAATGTATATATAATTATGTGTACATATACAAAATATAACACCACAAAAATTCTTTAAATTTTACTGCAGTTCACATACAAGAATTTTAATACATTAAACAGTTTAAAATATTAAGATATCATGACGTGACAATTTTTTCCGTTTCCAAAACGAACGATAATATTTAAGCTATTAAAACATTGTGAGCACAATCTGCGTAAGTTTTACTGTTCTTGTATGTAATATTTCTTGTATTTGTTTATTTATTAAATATTATCAGATAAAAATGAAGAATTATAACAACATCAGTTAATTTTTATTTTTCATTTGTCAAATATCAGTTATTCAAATTTTATGTACAACTGTCCGTCCGTTCCCAGATTACGTATGTATGTAGTTAAAGCTTAATGAGGGTCCATCCGCCCTTTCGGGCACAAAATGCAGCTTGCGCTGTCGAGTACGGACCCCGGACATGTCACCAGTCATGTCCTTAAAGAGTTAATTTTGAAGCACAAAATGGTGATAATTTACCTCCATGCAATTTTCACGGAGTATTAGCCAAATATATGAATTTTGAGCCAAAAGTAGGTCACTGTACGGCGGTCAATGAGAACCTAAATGCATGTACAGTAACCTGTGACAATAGGAAAGGTAGGTGTTTACAATAATGCCAAAATAATATGTAGTTAGCGACAGGCTGTAAACTGTGCCAGATACACGGTAAACGCTCCTGAGAGCATCCAAGATTAAAAAAAAATCAGAGGGAGCATGCATGCACCGTACCCACCTGGAGCCACCAAATTGGTATTTACATCGTGACGACGGGTCTGTTGAGGGATAATTTATTTTCTGAATATACTTCAGTCTAGATCTACTGAAGTCATTTTTAATCGTTAAGTATGTAATATTTACATAAAAGTAAGAAATATTGCATACCTAACGATTAACGCAAATTAAAGCATATGTCGTGCCTTGAGGGTAAAAATTCGGGGTAGATCTACCTGTGATATAAAAATTCAAATGAAGAAAGGTATAGCCCGTGCCGCTGCAAAACCGAAAGTATGGTGTTTTTATGAATTTTACTTTTATTTTTGACAATATACTGCCATTTGTCCGAAGATGATATGTCGAGGTAATGGGCGAGGCAAGACATGTCGATTTTTTGTAGATTATTGTTAAGTTGCAGTACATGAAAAACGGGCACATGACGAATCAGCACATAAATAAAACATTCTAGTGTTCCGTGGTATACATCTTTTCTACGTGTCATACCTCCTTTCCTTAAATTACAATGAAATTTTACTGGATTGTTATCTTTTTAGCAGAGAATGACCTGTGCAAAGAGGATATACCGTTTGAAAAGGGTGCCGATATGGATATGCACCATGATGATAGGCCTATTATCTCCTTTTTTCCAGAAATTGTAATGTGTTCAGTAATAGAAAGAGCACCGAAACACGAGGCTATCTGATTTGTACGACCGAGTATAAATCAGATTGCCGAGTGTTTTGGTGTTCTTTCTCTTTTGTATCATAGTCAAACATAAAAACGCGTACCCGGTTGTCACAATTTTAAACCCCGGGAAAAAGTAACCATGCAATGATCGAGCATCTGAATACATGATATTTCTGCCGCTTTCCCTTTCTCTGTCGTCACAATATGTAAACCCCGGCAAAAATGAGCCAATCAACGGGCATGATCTGGAGTGCGGGTAACTGATACCTGCACTCCAGTTACCGCACTGTGCATGTATGTGTATACGATTTAACTCTGACACTTTTTCAACAGAAAGGTCCCCAAACTATGATACAACTATTTAAATTCACCACTTAAAAAACTCTTGACTGCTGGTCGGTAGTTCATCTTTAATCATTCCGCCAACAAATGAGTTCCGGGAGAATACACAAAAAACACTTTTAAAGTCATACTTTAAAACACAAAAAACTACACACATGCCGTAAATGCACTTTAATTATGACCATTCAAGCTAGAGAGAACTTAAATTGGGCCTCATCAAAAATTAAAATAACTACTTGCTAGACGACGACGGCATGCCATTGCCAGGAACTTATACAGAGCGTTACATGAAATACTAAAATCATGACTGTTTTAATTGGTATTTATATGTTCTTATACATTTAAGATAATCTAATTTAATCTGCTATTCCAGTATTCAAGGCTTTTTGCATTGTTATTTATTTTGAATATTGCGTAATGATAACCAAACCTAATAGAATAATATTCGCCCACTAAAATTTCGTACTCGTATAAATGTTTTAAAGAAAAATGCAAAGCATATCTTGATGTTCATATGAATGAGTGAGTGAATGAATGAATGAATTAATTAATTAATTAATTAATTATTAATAAATGAACGAACGAACAAATGATGCAATATTTTTATAAATATGCTAACTCCAAGAAGAAAGTAAAAAGTGGTATTTCTCATTTAAAATGTGAAAATGGCACTTATACAGAAAGTGACCTAGATAAAGCTAATGAACTTAATAAATTCTTCAAAAGTGTATTTCAAATTGAAGATAACAACAATCTTCCAGATATTACAAATCGCAGTGGTGGAAATACATTAAATGACATTTATTTCAGTGAAGAAGTATTGACTAAGCTACTTGAGAATTTAAATGTTAATAAATCTTGTGGTCCAGATTTGCTTCACCCGAGGGTTTTAAAAGAGTTGAGAACATCAATTGTTTCTCCTTTAACACTTATATTTACTGAATCTGTAGAAACTGGAATATTGCCTATGGATTGGAAGACTGCGAACATCAAAGCCTTATTTAAAAAAGGAAGTAAAGATTTACCAGGAAATTATAGACCAATTAGTTTGACATGTATACCCTGTAAATTGTTGGAAAAAATAGTAAGGAATATTATTGTAGACTATATGAATGTTAACAACTTTTTCTCTGCAGCCCAATATGGTTTTAGATCGCTTAGATCATGTGCCCTTCAGTTACTAGAAGTCATGGAAAAGTGGACAGATTGGTTAGATGAAGGCAGAAATTTTGATTGTTTGTATTATGACTTTAAAAAAGCATTTGATATGGTTCCACATTTTAGACTAATACTTAAATTGCAATCTTATGGTATTGGTGGTGCACTTTTATCATGGATCAAAGCATTCCTTACAAACAGAACTCAGTGTGTTGTTGTTAATAATAGTAATAATAATAATAATAATAATAATAATAATAATATTTTCTAGAATCTAACAACTTAATCTATAACTATCAGTCTGACTATTGTAGTGTAACAAGTGGTGTTCCACAGGGAAGTGTTTTAGGACCAATATTGTTTCTTATATTCATTAATGACATTGAAAGTCAAATTAAAAGTACCTTGCGTCTCTTTGCGGATGACACCAAATTATTTAACCTGGCAAATGTAAATGAAGACTTTAACCAAATACAAAAGGACAATGATAGTTTAATACAATGGAGTGAAAAGTGGTTAATGCAATTTAATGTAGACAAATGCTGTGTTATTCATTATGGACACAATAACACGGAACATCAATATTTTATGAAAAGTGACTTTACAACTAAACAATTGAGGTCTAGTGAGGAAGAAAGAGATTTAGGTATATTATATGATAAGGATTTGAAATTTCGACATCACATAAGTAATTGTATCAATAAAGCAAATAAAATAACTGGATTGGTCAGAAATACCTTCTTACATGTTAATATCAAGCAATTTCGGAAACTTTATAAAACTCTTATAAGACCACACCTTGAATATGGAAATATTATTTGGAGTCCAAGATTTAAAAAAGATATTGAAGCAATCGAAAGAGTTCAAAAAAGAGCAACAAAAATGGTTAAATGTATTAGAAATTTATCGTATGTAGAAAGATTAAAAATTCTGGAAATTCCTACGTTGGCTTACAGAAGATTTAGAGGTGATATCATACAAGCATGGAAATTATTAAATGGGAAGGAAGATATAGATTATAATGTATTTTTTGAAAAAGCACAACTTGATATTCATCACATCAGAGGAAATTCCATGAAGTTGAAAATAAAATCATGTAAAAAGGAATTAAGAAAACATTTTTTCTCATTAAGAGTAATACCAGAGTGGAATAAATTACCAGATTCTGTAGTATGTTCACCAACGCTGAATTCGCTAAAAAACAGACTCGATAAGGTTATGAAAAACAAATTATATACTGTTATACCGGATAATAATCATTGGGTGTCAGACCTCGAGGGGGTTATAAGAGATTTCTGATCTCGCGACCCTACGCTGGATAAAGTAAAGTAAGTAAAGTATACGTACAATGTATATGTTAACTTTAAACAAATTGTTGAGTGTCTGTCAAAAGTATATGAGTTATGTATTTTTCTAAAAATTACATGTTATACATTCATTTTCTACCTATGCATGTCCTGTTGTTGTTGTTTTCTATTTCAGAAGGCCACATTGGAAATAACATATATATGATTGTTATTGTATGTTCTTAATGTGTAACCTTCTTTAAATAAAGATATTATTGTTATTATTATTATTATATGTGTAAACTTGCATCATATAAGATATAGATTTTAAGGGACTGAGCGGATCATGAGACAGGGAACAGTACCAAAGCAGACTGAAGATCAGGACAGGGCGGACTGTGCATTTTAATGTCAATTTAACAAATTCAATAAACATCATTTTGTTCGATATTAAAGATGTTGTATATTAAAATAAAGCAGTTAATTTACATTTATACATAACATATTCAAAATAAGCTATCAAACAACAATTATCTCTGTATTTTTTTATAGAAGGCAGACATAACGGACACTACATGTAGGTGATAATTAAACTAATTAAAGAGGAATTGAAGTCAGTCACATTCCATGATTATATAATTTGTATCAACAAATTAACAAAATTAGATCTATAAATATTTATATCAAAATGCACGGGGGTTAAAAAGGGGCTTAAACTTTGCTGACTGTCACTTTCAGAATAATCTGCCTATAATGAACAAATTTATATAGTTTGAAGTGATTATCTTCATAATAGTTCCACAGGCATGAGAATCGGACCTGGGAAGAAAAAATATGACCAGATTGATAAAAAAAACCTGTGTTCATCTTTTAAGATCACGGAACACAGGTTTTTTTTATCAATCTGGTTATATTTTTCTTCCCAGGTCCGATACTCGTGCCTGTGAATAGTTCTGAGAAATTGAAGTGAGTCTACATAAATTAATATTACAGGTCTTGAAATTATCTGTATATATCCGTATTTTTTTTACTTTTTCTATAGTTTATAAATATTATATACATGTGCATGTTTATTTATTAATGTCATTTCATCCTTTGAGATTTTTTTGACAGTTTTGTAAATAATTGTTGCTGTTAATAATATAATTTGAATTTATAGATCTAATTGTTAATTAAAAGTGTTTATACAAATTATATAGAAAGCAAGATATAACGAACACTACATGTAGCCATGATGTAGGTGATAATTAAACTAATTAAAAAGGAATTGAAGTCTGATAGTCACATTCCATGATTATATTTAAAAAACCCCGTGCATTTAGATATAAATATGAAATTAAATTTTTGAGACTAAAATAAATGTAAGTTTTCACAAAGAAAATCATCTTTTGTACATACTATGTTTTCAGGAGGAGGTAGAGGATTTGTCGGCAAACATTTGACCAAAGTTTTGAAAAATAATGGATATGATGTGACAATAATTTCAAGGCAGGCAGCAAAAGGTCAAATAACATGGGTATGAAAGATATAACTTATTTATTTCTTCAAGTTGTGTCTTTAAATGTTTAGTGTTTGTGATAATTTAAAAAGTGGTCATCTGTCATATGCATGTTTTTCAGTTATTTATACTTTTAGTTTAATCTATTTTTAGTCAGAGGTGGAAAGGAACGGACTGCCAAATGATTGTAAAGCAGTGGTAAATGTTGCTGGGGAAAATATTCTGAATAAATGGAAATGGTATTTTTTCTATTTCATTCATTTGGATAATTATTATTTATATCAACTTAATTATACCAAATGAATACATTCTTTTTGAGCAATCTGCAAGTTACAAAAATTTAATAAGCTACTAAATATATATAATTAAGACATATATATTTTGAATTGTTTTCACAATTAACTTAAGAGACAACACCAAATTGAGTCATTTTCAATTTGTGCAATTAATTTTTCCTTGATTATAAATGTATTTCTAACATTTGCTGTATTATAACTCACTGATTTGGAAAATTTTACCACATTATTTAGTATTAGGCTTACAGAATGATTTCTGAGATTGCAAAGTTTAGTTGACAGTTGGGTACAATTGTAGGAGTTATCTCTAAACACAACAGACAAAATTCTCTGTAGTCCGCAAATTCAACATCATTTTTCCTATTTATAAAGGTACTCGGATAAAGAGTTTTTGGATGAGATCTGGAAGAGTAGAGTTGGCACATCAAAAATTCTGGCTAATGCTATCAAAGAAGCCGAGAAGAAACCAGAGTCATTTGTTACCATGTCAGGAGTTGGTATGTATTTATGTAGTTTATACAAGATTAAAGCTTGGTAACCTTTGGTCAAAACTAGGTCACAATGTCAAATCCGTGCAATACTATACTCCTAAATCTAGAAGTCACTGTTTTATTATCTATTCTTATTCATTTTTGTAAGAGTGTATATATGTTAATATAATCTTGAAACAATGAGTCTCAGGTGAGCGAAAAAGGCCTTGATGTCCTTGTGTTAAGTTATTTCCCTTTTTACTTTAAAATAGGGATTTATAAAAATAGCCCATTTTGCACTGTATCTGAATAATACTGAAGTGCTAGTCTTGGCATGCATTAAAATATCAATAGATGAATCATTTTAATGGACTGACAACATTTGTATCTTACTGAGTTATGGCCCTTTATAACTTTTATGCCCCACAAGTGAGGCATATGAAAATTGCTATGTCCCTGAGTGTAAAATCTCAGTGGATATACATTGTAGTATTTATTTACCTAAATAAAAGCAATTATTGGGCATATTGGTTGATCAAAATTCTATTTAGATTAAAAGGGCATAATATATGAGATTATTTCATGCATAATTTTGTTTTGTTTTTGTTTACTTTTTATGCCCCCGGGTATATAGTGATTGAACCGTCCGTCCGTCCGTCTGTCCGTACGAGGTTAACCTAGAATGGCAAGTTGGATTTTTCTTAAGTTCTACCTGTACCAATGGCTTCTAAGTTTACACACTTATTAATCAATACAAAGTACATGATCTGGGCAAGTTACATAACTCTGGCTTTCATATTTACCAAGTTATGGCCCTTTTCAGCACTTAGAAAATGAATAATGGTTAACCTAAAATGGCAAGTTGGAAATATCTTAAGTTCTATCTATACTAATGGCTTTATAATTTCCACACTTACTTATCAATACAAAGTACATGATATTGCCAAGTTATATAACTGTGTCATCCATATTTCCCAGTTATTTCCCTTTTTTCACTGAAAATAGGGCCTTGTCTGGTTAACCTATTTCGGCAAGTTGGATTTATCTTAAATTTCTCCTAATTGCTTAATTTCTTTAATGATATCTTTCATATTTAGTAGGTGGATACCTTTGATGGTCCTCTAATTTTTTGTGGAGTAAGCGGTCTCTAGGGTCAAGGTCAAGGTCACTGGTTTAAAAAATAAATGTAAACATTTTTGCTCATACAGCCTTTATATTTTAGTTGATGTTTTAGTTTAATACAAACATGGGAGGTCCTCCTTCTTTTGGTGTAGTAAGGGGTCATTTGGGTCAAGGTCAATGTTACCAATGTCAAGGTCACCAATGTTAAAATTGATTTTTACATTTTTACAGGTGTATTGACCTTATTCTATAGACAGATGTTATTTATAATTGATAGAAACATAAACTTTTATGGAGTTAGTGGTCAGTTGGGTCAAGGTCACCAGTTCTAAAAATAGATTTTTACACATTTGCTCATACAGCCTTTATTAAGTGACAAATATATTTTATATTTGGTAGGAAGATAACTTGCATGGTCATCATTTTGATTGGGGTAGGGATCAGTGGGTCAAGGTCACTTGTGCTAAAAATAGATTTTTACACTTTTGCCCATACAGCTTTTATTTATTGACAGATGTATTTCATATTTGGTAGGAAGATAACTTGCATGGTATTCTTCCTTTGGATGGAGTAAGGGGTCAGTTGGGTCAAGGTCACCAGTGCTAAAAATAGATTTTTACACTTTTGCCCATACAGCCTTTATTTATTGACAGATGTATTTCATATTTGGTAGGAAGATAACTTACATGGTATTCTTCTTTTGGATAGAGTTAGGGGTCAGTTTGATTAAGATCACCAGTGCTAAAAAATAGATTTTTACACTTTTGCCCATACAGCCTTTATTTAATGACAGATGTATTTCATATTCGGTAGGAAGATAACTTGCATGAAGTTGAATATTTTTCATCTTCACAAGTCAGTGCAATGACTTGGCAACTTATATTTTTCACAATTACAAAATGCTATGACTTTGTCAAGCTATATTACTTGTGTTTACAATTTTTTGGCAATTTTTCTGTCCTTAACTGAGTGAATGGGTAAACAATTTTTGAAATATTGCTACTGACAAGAATCTGAGCCCGGGGCATTTGTGTTTAACAAACACGTTCTTGTTTTATTATTTTTTTTATAACAAAATCATGAATTCTTAGAATTTAAAATGGCAAGCACACTATCTTGTCCTGTGGCTGTCCTATATTCTATAGTATATTCAAATTTAAACAGCATTCTTATTTCAATGTTGCTTTCAGATGATGTCCTAAATTCATAATACAGTACATGTATCATACAAGCTGTATGTAAAATTTTTATATTATAAACTTAAGCATTTTGGAGGTGAATGTTTTCAAGTTCTACACGAAGATTATTACAGTTGTTTTTCAGTAAAAAAAAGATTTGCTAAATTAGTCTGACAATATACTCATTTGCCACAATATCTAAAAAGAAGGCCTATTTTAATGTCTAAAAAAATAAACCTATTTATTCTAAAAAACACCTGTAATTGTTGGTCAAGTATCATTCCAAAGAAAATTTCAAAGTTGAAAATTCTGTCCAAGATGAAATTTTTAAGTATAAATTCTGCTCCAAATAAAATTCCAGCCGGAATTCTTCTAGTTTTCCGCCCAGAAAAGTGAACAAAATATTTTTCTTGTGAGACGGAATGACAGGGAATTTGTGTTTCCGTCCCTGGTCCGCCCAGAAATCACTGATTTCATGTCAATTCCGCCCAGAATCCGTGCCAAAATTTCGTACAGGTAACTTTGTCATGCATCAAATCATTTAAAATTTGTGTAACTTCTGTATATGCAATTTAAACTGCAGATATGTCCTATGTTAAAACCCTGTAACACAACTTTTTTTATGGTTTTATATCATAAATCTGATGCTCTTATGGCCTCTACAGTGGACCTCTACAATTTTTTTCAAATAAAAGCCCTAAGGTCAAAATTGGCCCTGCCCCCATAACATTGATTTTCCTATTATGTATATGGTAAAAACATAGAAAAAATCCTCTAAATCTACAGAAGCTAAAGCATAGAAACCAGTGACTGCCATAACAAACATTATCTATCTACCATTGAATTTCATAGCAAGCACTGATTTCCATTAAAACTATTTATTTATTTCCTACAGCAACCAGTGAAAAACTGTTTTCCCCTTAGCAAAAGCAATCAGTAATGTTTGCATGGGCACTATTTCAGATACAGATATGAACTTTGTGATATCAGTTTAAGATTTAGATTTTATATCTGCTTTGGTTTATAGTTTACAATATAACTTGTTCATTGTGTCATGGAGAGCATAAATATTTAGGTGAGCAATATTAGGACCATCATGGCTCTCTTGTTTTTTAGGTATTTATCCCCCCAGTAAGACAGCGGAATACACAGAAGCAGCTACTGAACCAGGAAATGATTGGTTAGGAAAGTTAGCACTGGAGTGGGAGAGAGCTGGTGATTTACCAGATGATGTTCCAACAAGAAGAGTTATAATTAGATCTGGTAGGTGTGAGGGAGAAACTGTTATATCAGACAGGATTATCTACTGTTTACACAAGTGCTAGAAAAACCTGTCTTACATGACCATGTAAGACAAGTCTCATGTTTTAAATAACCTCATCCCCGCACCCCTTTTATGAATGAATTTACAGTTATTTTCTTAGGATGATGTCATTTTGCCATTAGGAAATATTGTAAATTCTTACTCTTTTAAAAGAAAAAAGTGCTAAATAAAAGTATAAGTTTTCGTAATTTATTTTGGAAATACCATAAATATGTCATAATGTAATATGCAAGAAAAAGAATCAAACACCTGCAGCTATGACGTCACAGACAGGAATATCTAGCTCTCGGGTAACTGTTTAGCTGAAACTCGACAAAGCCTTGTTACTGCCGTAGAGCTACCCTTGAGCTAGATATTCTGGTCTGTACCAAAGCTGGTGTAAGATCCTTATCATATTTAAAGATAGTTACAATAACAGCTTACCATTTTTCAGTGACACCAGTAAATATAACCAGGCATTCTCAAGTAAAGATTTTTTAAAAATATATGTATAATGAAGGGAAGATCAGCTTTTAAGATAAGTTTTACAAGAAAGTTTTGTATGTATTCACCATATGCCAAAGAAACGTTTAATATTACTCATTTTATTTTTAAAATAATATATAGTTTGCAAATGAAACACAGAAACAACTAAATGCATGACTTTTTATGCCCGTTTGAAAAAAGAATTTCTCATATCTTAGTCCTCCCCCCACCTCTGGCAAGGACACAGACAGGCTGGTAGGCATCCAATTATTGTCCGAAAGCAGCATATCTCCTCGGGGCCAAAAACCCTTCTTTGTAGAGGCCAATGTAGGCTGCTTCCCAAACCAAACTAGCCTCTTTTTCCCCCAGTTTGGTCCTCAAAATTCCCCAGTCTTTTGAAATTTCTCATAGAATTTAGGACAAAATTAAATGATGGTGTTAATTAAGGTCTTTTACTGCCTTATTAGTATTTCCCAGTGCCTTTTGCTTTTCTATTTTGAAGAACTTGTTAAAAGTTTGTGTTAAATTTGAGAACCCTTTTCCCAAAGTATGCCAAAATCATGCATATTTTCCCCAAGAAAAAGGCTGAGGTCCCTTCCCCAAAAATGGTGTTTTGGCCCTGCTCCTACACACATTGAGGAATTTTAACGAAACTTCATAGAAATGTTCACCACTATGATACTGAGAAGCTGTGTCGCGCACATTAACCAGGTCTCTAGGTCAAAGGTCAAGGTCACACTTAGAGGTAATTGAAAACCACTCCAGAGCAAAACTTGTACATGCATTGAGGGATTTCAATATAACTTTGCACAAATGTTCACCATTGTGAGGCAAAATGCCGCATGCAAAATTCAAGTGCTAATGTCTGTGGCCAAGGTCACAGTCACACAAAGGCATCAAAGTTCAGATAAAAATATAAAAATGTGTCTTCGGACCATTTAGTCATCATTTATTGAGGGATGGAAACACAAATGGTCATTATCATGACTATCATTGTGAAGCTAAATATTGAGCACATTATCCAGGTCCCTGCTTCCAAAGTCAAGGTCACAAAGAGAGGTCAAAGTTTGTGTACGGGGACCATTTTGTCATCATTTATTGTAACACAAATGATAACTATCATGATTACAAATGTGACATATGTAATTTAGGTTAATATTTGCAAGGTCAAGGTTATCAGAGATAAATAAAATATCAAGATATTGTCCGGAAATCCCCAGAGCATATCTCCTATATGCATATTTATAATGCCCACATCCCTGACAAAAGTTTTTGTGATGGGCGTATTTTGCGAAATGTTTGAATTAATAGAAGAACTGCTTGGAAATTGGCATAATCCAATAGGATAGTATTATTTTATTCTTTTTATACCATCTATGGTTCTTAAATCTTTAAAATTTACCTCATAAAAGAATTAGAAATAATGGTCTGGCCAATATCTTGTTTTATATTCTGAGACAGAGAGTGCAGAAGCATTTTGTCTTTCTTCCCGCTAATGTCTGTTTTATCTACTTTCACTTTGATTCAGGTGTCATACTTGGGAAAGATGGCGGAATGATAAAGACATTGTGGCCATTTTTTAAATTTCTTGGTGCACTAAAACTTGGCTCATGACAGCAGTGGTTGCCTTGGATACATGTTGATGACATGGCAGAATTGATAACATATGCTATAAAAACTGACAGTGTCTCAGGAGTGTTGAATGGAGTAGCACCAGATCTTGTTACAAATGCAGAATTTACAAAAGCTTCTGATACAGTACGCGGATTACCAACTTTTGGCTTTCTGCCAGAATTTCATTTGAAAATGTTGTTTGGATCTGAAAGAGCTATTATGCTGTTACAAGGACAAAAAGTAAGACCATCAAGAACTCTTGAAAGTGGCTTTACTTATAAATATCCAACTATTCAAGATGCTTGCAAAGAATTAGTATCATAGGTATTATAAATAAAAGGATTGATATCATAAAAAGATTATCTCAACAAATTTATCATGTAAGGTATCAATAATCCAGATGAATTATATATAAAGGAATTTCATTGTGAAAATGCAAATTAGAATGAATTGTTGAAGGACTGTGCCGATGATAAGAATGACTATAAACATCAAAATTATAAGTACTTGTTAGATATATAAATATAGTTTGGTTACTGTTTACTGTTAACTTTTTCTTACCTGTTTTTTTTTTTTTAAAGACATCCTCCTTATAATGGAACTATTATCTTTGTTTACACCAGGAAAAGGACATTAAATCAAAGTTTGAATGACTAGACAGGGCTCATATAAAACAAGAAATTACTATTTATCTGGTGTAGCTGTTATTTGTTGTTAGATTAAATTACTGCTGTAATAGGATAGCTACATGACAGCTGGAATAATGATAATTGATTTTACAGTTTTCAACAATATAGGAAATACATATATTGTGCTTTAGATTGTTTTATGAATTACATGCTAAACATATATTGTTTGATTTTATTAACCTGTCAATTCCATACTCATTATACGGTCAATGCACAGAATATATTAATATTCGAAAAATGTTCGGTAAATTCCGTGAGAGGTACGCAATAAGATGTGATTAAATTCATCTTGTTTTTATGAATTAGTTACACTGACCGTTATAGCGCAATAGGGTAAACCACGGGTATATAATATCAAAATGTCCTGCATCACGTAAGATCGAGACAGTGTATGTCCATGGTTTTTTTTTCTTATTCATAACCATTTTCAAAATTTTTGAAGTTATGGTTGTTCTGTTTTTAATATGTTTTGTACTCTTTTGTAAATACTATATTTTTGTATATAATTGATACTGAAAATTCATTCGGATAATAATCAATAAATGTAATTTCAGTGCCGTAAAATACAATACAAAATGTGACAATTCAGTGTTTCTTAGTTGTTTTATTCCATGTAGACAATTTTGCGAGCGCTTGACAATTTTCTTTAAAATATACCTAAAATAAAGAGAGAATAAGTCTAAAAAGAATGTCAAAAAAGGGATCGAACCTCGGACCTCTCATACATTAGGTCATTACTGTTACGTCATGGGTTTATGAACGACATAAATATATATGTGCTCTAACTACGTTTATTATCTAAACTATATTCTATGATACATGTGTTTACATATCAGTGTCCGCGATGGTAGTATATTAAGATCTAGGGAACTCTCTATTATAAAGGAGCTGTACGCACCTAGAGTATCATGTTACAGTTTACTCATCATGCTACATCTTCCATCTTTTACAAAATTACTGTTATATTTAAACATAATTTTATATAAAGTATAACCGCATAGATTATTTGAATAACGCTTAAATAAATTCAAGGAAGAACAACTTTATATTAGATGATGATTACAGTAACATGTAGTTAATAAATGTTCATTATCATGAGTCGTTTACAACATGTACTAATCATGATTAATACTGTAAATTTCTTCATTACAAACAATCACTGTCTATTTACAAGTCTGTTACAGCACGTGGCTTCACCTTTCTGCCTGCGCGAGTGAAATAATTAGCATTATCCGGAGGATTCAAAACCACAGGCTGTTTATTGCTATCGGTACGCTCTGACCCTACGTTAATCATTCTGTCATTAACTGACATTTCAAGGCCAGAATTCAAAGCACCATGTGTCAGTAAAGGCGATTCTTTAGATTTCAACAAATCTTTACGATTTCTGCGATATTGTTGTCCGTTTTCTGTTTCAACAATATAGGACCTATCGCTGTGATTTTTTATTACAACAGCGGGACTCCAGGACTTGTCTAGACGTTGAATTCTAGCGGAATCTTCAACATTTAAGGGAGACAGAAGTTTAGCATTTTTATCATAATAATGCTTAGATTTGACCTTGGATTCTGCGATTTTTTGTTTGACAACATCAGGGGGCAGAACTCGTGGTATAAGGTATAAGGTTTTCCCTTACAGTGGGAAGGATAGAACGAAGTTGTCGTGATTGGACTATCTGCGCTGGACTAAAATTTCCTATATCAGCGAGAGGAGTAGAATGATATTCTAAAAATCCTATTCTCGGATCAGAATTATCATCTTTTGCCTTTTAAGTATACGTTTGGCAACTTTAACCATCGCCTCAGCCAAACCATTTGTTTGGTTATGATATGGACTACATTTTACATGTACAAAATCCCTTGACTTTGAAAACTCCTCAAATTCTTGACTAGAAAAACATGGACCCCCATCAGTGACTATTTTCTCACATATGCCCCAATGTGACATGATATCTTTCATGTGGGAAATAACAGTTGAACTTTTCGAAAGTTCATGAACTATGGGATACCTAGAATAGTAATCGGACATGACCATGAAATTTTTCTCATTAAGTGAGAACAAGTCACACACTGCAATTTGAAACGGATAGTCTGGGATTTCAGAGCTGATTAATGGCTCCTTCTGTTGCGATGACCTGTATTCCAGACAAATCTGACATTGATTTACCATTTCAATTATATCATTTGAAATTCCCGGCCAAAACATTATTGACCTTGCTCTACTAAGACATTTTTGCGCACCCAGATGACTGGAATGCAGCACCTTTAACATTTCAGATCTGAGTGACCTGGGCATAACGATTTTTTCTCCTTTCATTATTAAACCATTAACCTCAGATAACTCATCCCTATAGTTCCAAAAGGCAGCAATTAACTGATGACAAGCCTTTTAGTACTTAGGCCAACCAAACTTTATTGTTTGTTGTAATGTACATAATTGTTCATCTTGTTTTGTTTTGTAACCTGATTTCCTCAAGTTTTCTATCTGACACGGGTAAAGATGAGATAACCATATGCAAACGTGTGCCTCAATACCCTCATTAAGTTCTGGGCTTGTTTCCGGACTGGCGTTTCTGCTAAGTCCATCTGCTAATGGGATTTTCTTACCGGACATGTGACGAAACTGAAACCTATATGGAGTTAATTTCAAGACTAAACGCTGCAACCTAGCAGGTATTGAATGCATAGGCTTTTTCAGCAATCCCTGTATAGGGAGATGGTCATTTTCTACAATGACATCACGGCCATAGCAGTACTGATGAAATTTCGTAAATCCAAAGACAATAGATAATAATTCTTTAGAAATTTGACCCATATTCCTCTGTGATTCAGTTAAGCTACGGGACGCAAATGCTATGGGACGTTTTTCCTGAAGGATTACTGCCCCTAAAGATTTGGAAGAAGAATCAACTTGCAATGTCAAGGATTTGTTTGGGTCATAATAAGCTAAACATGTGTCCTTACAAATGACTTCTTTCATTTTTTCAAAGGAATCACTTTGAGGCTTTTGCCACGTGAATATTGTGTCCTTATGCAATAACTCTCTCATAGGAGCGGTAATCTCTGATAAATTGTCAGAGACATAACGACTGAGATAATTAACCATGCCTAATACCACCTGTAGTTCACTTTTTGATGTGGGTGGTCTCATATCCTTAATGGCCTCAATTTTGGCGGGATCGGCCTTTAAGCCTTCTGCAGTTAACACGTGACCAAAATAACTAATCTCGGTGAGACCTACTTCCAACTTTCTGGAATTGAAACGAATGCCTTTGTTTAAAGCACGTTCAAGGACAGCTACTAAATTTCGGTCATGACTTTTCCTCGTGGATCCCCATACACAAATATCATCAACAATTGTAGCTACCCCTTCGAGACCTATCAGTGCCTCTTCAAGGGCGCGAACCAAAAAATCACCTGATACGTTTAATCCGTATGGACATCGAAGATACCTGAAGACCCCCAATGGACTGTTAAATGCAGTCAAATATGATGACTCTTCAGATAACTGTATTGACCAGTAAGCACTAGTTAAGTCCAATTTAGTGAAATACTTTGCATTACCAAACTTATGTAATACGTCATCAAGTGTTTTGAGCGGGTAGGGTGTACGCTTAATTGCACTATTAAGCGAACGAGGGTCTAAACAAAGACGTATATCGCCATTACTTTTTTCAGTAACAACTAAATTATTACACCATTCAGTGGGTGTTGAAATCTTAGCAATGACTCCGATTTTTTCCATTCGTGTAAGTTCCTGTTTCACTTTATCTTGTAAAGCAACTGGAATCCTACGGGGAGGATGAACAACTGGTGTAGCATTTGGGTCAACATGAATGTTACATTCCCCAGGGAGTAACCCTATGCCATCAAAAACCTGGGCATAATCCGTCAAAAGGGACTCTTTAGTAAGAAATGCCTCTTTATTTCTATGATTATAATCATTTTGTACAGAATGAGCGAATTCTATGAGCTTAAAGCCCAAGCACGACTCGCAACCTAATAGTGGTGGGGATTTCGTGTCTACGACATGAAACGTGACATTTTTTGCTTGACCTGAAACAGCATGAGAACAAGGGAGAGTGATTTGCCCTTTGCAATGCAAGGAATTGCCATTATAGGCGGTCAATTTAGATGTGGGCTTTTCAAGAGGTGCCTTGATTCCTAAACCTTGAAAGGTAGATAATGGCAAAATGTTTACCTGAGAGCCAGTGTCTAACTTCATTTGCACAGCCTTTTTACTATTTCCAATTAATATTTCTGTAAACATCTGTCCATTTTTTACTGTTACACAGTCCAGACTGTCCACATTTTCTACACAGTCAATGTATAATTCAGAACTTAAATTTGAAATTTCATTCACTGTTCTAGATTTACAAACATTGCTCCAGTGGTTCCATTTTTTACAATTGTTACATTGTGTGCCTTTTGCTGGACAACGCTGCTTGTCAGTATGTTGATTTCCACACCTGTTACATTTTGTACTGTGTGAACGTTCCCCAATGCGACCTGGATTGCTCGATGTTTCTGTATATCGACCTGGTTTCATCGATGAAGGGTTCCGAGACGAACGACCTTGGATGCCCGATGAACGGCTAGGCATCCGTCCCTTTGGTCTTGATACTGCATGTACCGGAGCACTTTCTTGGACATTATTGAACATTTTTATTTGAGATGCAGCATATTCAAATTCTTGGCAAATTTTTGTTGCCTTGTCTAATTTCAGATCTTTCCCTACTTGCAAAAGCCTTTCTCTTAATTTCGAACATGACACGCCAAATATAATTCTATCTCTGATCATGTCATCTTTCATTGTTCCAAAATCACACTCTGTAGCCTTGTTTTTTATTATTGTGATGAATTGTTCCATAGTTTTTTCGCCTTGTGTGATATTATTGAATTGATAGCGGCTAAATACTGGGTTAATTATCGGAGCGATGTGTTCTCGGACTTTTTGGAAGATCTTTTTTGTTTCTTTTCTATCTGCATTAGATAAATTGGCGGCTCTATATATTTCTCTTCCCTTGGCACCCATATAAAGCAATAGCATTGTAACATGGACATCTTCTTCTTGCTCTTTCAAGGGTCCTTTAAATACTAATTCACAGTGCTCTTGAAATTTTGCGAATTCTTCTACAAGATTGGTTGATGTCCAGTCCATTTGAGGTTGCGGGATACCACTTAAATTCATTTTTTTTTATAATATTCCAGCACTTAAGGAAATGTTAATGTAATATTCCAACAAGAAGGAATTATAGTTTATGTCTGTCCTTTTTTTAAAGAATGTTTAGCACATTTATTAATATTCCGTCATTAGGAATGATTTTCCTTTTAATATAATATTCTTTCCTTAGGAATTATAATTAAACTATTTAAAATATTCCGTCTTTAAGAATTATTATCTTTCCAGTTCTGACACCATGTTACGTCATGGGTTTATGAACGACATAAATATATATGTGCTCTAACTACGTTTATTATCTAAACTATATTCTATGATACATGTGTTTACATATCAGTGTCCGCGATGGTAGTATATAGAGATCTAGGGAACTCTCTATTATAAAGGAGCTGTACGCACCTAGAGTATCATGTTACAGTTTACTCATCATGCTACAATTACTTAACCGACTGTGCTATTGCGGATGTTACGAGAACCTTCATTAAGTTAGTTGGAGTTTTCCAAACGTTTGTGATATACTCCATATTAATTCTCGTAAAATAAACGGACACAACCGAAGTGGGATCGAATATTTAAATGAGTGCTATAATGTATTCATTTTTGACAGGTCAATAAAATCAGACTATACCTGTTATAACAGACTTATGTAAATATTTCATGCAGAGGTTATGTTGTGTATTGTTGACATTGTTATTGTTAAGAAGTAAAATGAGAAGTATATCACGTTTTTTCTCTCTCTGTACAAACACCTTTAAAATACTAGCCATTTGTAAAGAGTTTTTTTGTTTTTTGTTTTTTTTTTTTAATTTGTTAGCATTCTCAGCTGTACATAGTATATGTATAATGATGTACAGCTTTCCTACTCATCCCTGTGTCCAGATTTCTCATTTAAGTTTTTTTACAGTAAAATATTTTTACTATATTAACTTCTTTACTTCTTAAGGTGACTACCTCAAACTTCCTTATCATCAACCACATCACGTGTGACATTTCTAAAAGCAATATTTCAAGAATTATCTCCCTATGAACATAGAATTTTCCTTTAAAATGTTATTTTTCTTTATTTTGTAAAGGATTTTTTATTTCATATAGAAACTACATGTACTTCAAATATTTATTATATACTTTGAAATGAAATATTGATGAAATAAAATGTGTATTTTCTTTTTCCTTATTTCACTGTAAAAATTTATTTTTCACTGCAGTGAAACATATTTTCCGTATTTTCACTGGTGTCTTGCTGGACTACTTTCTTTTAAATTCTGCCAGTACTCAAAATTTAAGGGAAAGTCTTGCAAATTTTAAAGTCCAGAAAGAGTAAAATGTATATAATAAACAGAAAATTCAAGTTTTTTCTATAAATACATGATTTATTTTCATCTTGTGGCATGAAAATTACCATATTTCACTCGTGGCTACCGCCACTCATGAAATATTTATTTTCATACCACTCGATGAAAATAAATCATGTATTTATAGAAAAAACTTGAATATCCTCTATATATTTTTTATCATCAACAACACCATATTAAAGTGACAAAGGTTCAAACCTTTGTCACAAATGATTTAAGAATTATCCCCCCTTGAACTTGAGATAAAGGTTCCATATCATTACCCTTATTTTGTGTGACAAGATTTATTATTTTTATTAATGCCACAAATATTTTCAGAATAATGAATCATAATAAATTTTTTTGACTGTAATTTCTTTATTTCTTGAAGGATTTATAACTTTTATAAATTCATAAATTTAACTCCCATATTCATGTTAATATGACCATGTTTATAACACTTAGTGTCAATACTTCCAGAATTATCTCCCTTTGAGTTATACTTGTCATTTTTTTTTATAAAACTTATTTATTTCTTCCGGGATATACTTTCAACTTGTTTATCAACACCTAAACATCATATGTGATTTTTGAACTTGGATTTTTTTTTTCAATTTGTTATATATTTGAAAACTTTTCATCTGTAATTGTAAAAGATATTATCTTTGGACTTGACATAATTCTTCTATGTCATCCCTCACATAATGTAACTAGCCTCTTTATTACAAGTTTTACAATTGCATGTTACTTTATTTTTCAGTTATTTTTAACAAAATGTCCATGGTGACCAGGCTAGATCACTTGCAGAGAACTAATGCTTAACAAAATTGAAATTTCTTAAATGCTGAAGTAGATCATACATGTATTTCTCCATGGCCAAGTGGTTTAGGTTGTTTATTTTTGTCAACTTGTCTCTTGAGGTTTATTTTATTACATTTAATTAAAACTAGATGGATTTTTGTCACAAAATCATTTGTCTCCCTAACTATGTATGGTCACTCATGTAAAGTTTCATTGAAATCCCACCAGCAGCTTGACTTATGTAAGCATGACAAGATTTATCTATTTATAGCTCTGGCGGCCATTTTGTGCAGCGAAGCGGAACATGGCAGTGACATGCACATAGGGATGGTACTGATCACTCCTGTAAAGTTTGGTTGAAATCCCACCATCAGTTTGACCTGTGAAAGTGACAAACGGATGGACAGACGGCAAAAACAATGTCTCCTAAAATTTTTGGGAGACATAATGAACCTGAATGTTAATTCTTTACTCATTGCTTCTGCTTTGATAAATAGCAAACATTATAAATGCAGTGCAAAGTTGAAAGCAAAATAAAGGTCATGGTCAAGCACCAATCCAACCACCTAGAAGAACTTGTCCTTTAGGTTTTGTCCAAGTGTGAAAACAAGCCATTCATAAGTTACAAAATTTTAGCCAATTTAAACAAGAGGGCTCGCTCATCTGAATATTGAAACTCTCCATGACAAGGAACAATTAATATTGTAAACAGATATAAACAAGTAATATTGTTTTGAATCTTAAATTGATATCACAAAGTTCATATTTGTATCTGAAATAGTGCCCGTGTAAAATTGTTACTGGTTGCTATGGCCTGAGGGCTGTTATTTGTACAATCTTGGTAGACACCCTATTAGAAGAGTTTTCATGCTTCATATCTAAGCTCTAGCTGTTTGGGTTTTTTTAAAGAAGATTTTTTAAGTTTTAACCATTTATACATATAAGGAAAATCAATGACCGCCCAGGAAAGGGCAATTTTTGACCCCAGAGCTTTTATTTGAACAAACTAGGTAGACACCCAAAGATTTTTTGTTTTTGTTTTTACAATATACATTTATACGTCAAAAAAACTGCAAGGTAAAACCATGGTTGGGCATATACACCTTCTTATGGGAGTTGTTACCCTTGTCTATATATTAGTATATAGTGTAATAGGAATGGACTAAGAATTCATTTCTGACTTAGGATAAATATTTTCTACCCTCAATCACATATTTTGTGAACAATCAATGAGCCATACCCCTTTGTATATATATATATATAGAAAATCAATGACCCCTGGGCTTGGCCAAATTTGACCCTAGGGCTTTTATTTGAACAAACTTGGTAGACACCCATTAGAACATGTTTCATATCAAAGTTGTAGCTCCTCAGGTTTTATACTACATGTATATACATATAAAGAAAATATCAATGACCCCCAGGGCAGGGCCAATTTTGACCCCAGGGCTTTTATTTGAACAAATTTGGGAGACACTCTTTGTTTCATGTCAAATGTCTTAAGCTCTAGCTCTTTGGATTTTTAAAAGAAGATTAAATTTTTAGTTTTTTCTTTAGGTTGCCATGGCAACCAGAGTTCTTCATGGAATTGTTTTGAATAATTTTTTAAGGGGACCATCAAATGAACATTCCTGTCAAGTTTGGATGAAATTGGCTTAGCGGTTTATAAGGATATGTCGTTTAAAGTAAAAGTTTACATACCGACGGACAGTACAAAACCTTAAAAAAAAAACACAAAATATTCTGTAATAAAATTTTCAACATTATTTTATTTAAAGTGTATTTGCTGACTTTTTGTACACATACATGTAATACTGAAATAATTGTTTGTAGTACAAAAAAGATATGACAATTCATAGTAACTACCAAATCTTTTATTTTCAACTAAAAAATCAATTTGATCAGCACTCTATATTTTTGTACTTTTCATAAGCTTTAGCATTTGTATTTCTCAGTAAATATCCAAGCTGTCGACCTGGCCCAACTTCAAACGTATTTGGATAGGGTACTTCCTGGGCTCTTGTATATAAAATGTGCATTAGCTGCTCCCAAACCACTGGTCTTGCCACCTGCTTACTGATTACGTTTCTAATCCCACCAATATTCTTTTCTTCAAAACTGACAATGAAAACAAAATTTAAATCATAATTTGTGAAATCATTAACTCTCTTCATGAAATTTTAATATGTAAAATCTTATTAATTATAAGTTAACTATTAACTTCAGATATATTATGCTTAAATTTGATATTTCAAAATATTGATAATTGTTATATACATGGTGTCTATGTCAAATAGACAAGTTTTAAGAACACACAAAGTAGAAATGTCCTTTTAAAAACTCTACACACTTTAGGTAAACACAGTATGAATACAAAGTGTCATAAAAAAAATGGCAGTTTCTTAAGGAAGACCACTTTAACTTGTAATGTGGATTATGAATGCAGCTTCTCAATCACAATTTGTGCATATCTTATTCAAATAGAACATACTCAGTAAGAAATTCCTAGATTTCAATAATTTTTTGCAATAGGAGTGTTTAACCCACAAAGATGAGCATGAATATATCTTTAAGCATGATGTATACATGTATGTCCCATATGCCCAAAAAAACATTCAGCTATTTTCTGGAGTATTATTTAACATAATAATATTAAAAGAAACTAAGGAATTTCTTGCCATTAAAAACAATAAACCTGTATGAATGATATTCTTCTTCCTTTACCTAAACAAGCTTTAGAATTTTGATAGAAAATTTTGTTGACACACTAGTTAATTCTTCTTCAAACCAATAAATCTAGCATGAACTAGAAGTCATCCACAGCAAGTTTCATTATGATTTAATCGAAGATGTGCTCTCTACAGTAATAACATGGTTTCCTTTTCACCTGACATTGTGATCTAGTTTTTGACCCTAGTTGTGGTTAATTGGGTTTCTGTAGTGGTAACAAAGCTTTCCTTCGTCTTCACAAAGTGACCTTATTTATGCCATTGTTGAACATGTCTAAAAAAATGTTAAACTTTGATGTAGATCCATACAAAACGGAGATCCTTTAATCCTTTAATTATTAACAACCAAATATTCATTATTCAACAATAACACCCTATCCTAGGGCTCACTTATTTACATGGACTTTGATTCATGTGAAAAACATCTATTATTTCATGTTTTCTAGTGTTTTACTGTTATATATCAGATGATTATTTTCTGATAAACCACTAGTGAAATTTATAAAATATAATTTTCACTGTAGCTGGACTTTATCTGAATGCGGATGAAAAGAATAGTATAACTAAATGGAATAACAGGTAAAAGTACATGCTGTCATACGTAAATTTTGCTTCTGTAGGAAAAGAAAGTGGATGTCATCATACATCATGTTAAAAATGTAGCAAAATTAGAGAAAGTTTAACAGAACTATATTTCAAAATTGATAATGTGACGTCATGATGTGATGACTTCATAACATGGCAAAGTCAGTAAAACATAATTAAAATCACTTAAATACATGAAATAAAAAGAAAATTTGCTTTACGTATAAAATTGAAATATATTTCATTCGTAAACACCAGCTATTATATTTTCACTCGTGGCTACGCCACTCGTGAAAATATTGCATCTGGTGTTCACTTGGTGAAATATATTTCAATCTTACATGCAAAACAAAAAAATATCCTCTATTTCTTAGCCGTCTTTTTTTAGCCATGATAGGCCCTAAAAGGCTAATTGTTATACCATTTGCAAAGGGGAATAAGAAATACTTACAGGGCTTTTTTTCTATCTATAGCAGGAGCAGGTATAGGGCTGCTTCCCCAAAGAAAATATCTTTAAAATCATGCAGTTTGCCCCAAAAATTGAATTTACATAAAGTTTTTTCTTCCCCTTTTGCAAATATACTGTGTATTGTTTTCCCAAAATTAAAGGCTGGGATGAACCCCAACCTGTGAAAAAAGCTCTGACTTATATAAGTTACTCAACAAATTCTAATTTTATCTGCTGTGTACAACCAAAAGAAATGAGTGATGCAGATACCACAGAATCCAAGTTGTACTCATTTCCTATAATCAACTTTATAAATTTAACTTACTTCAACTGTTTCCCATCAGAGTTTGAATGGATTCTGTATTTTGGTTTGTTCAACTTCACATGTTTCCATGCATTAATATACTTCCAGTATTTGTCACCATTACTCATAATAGTTGTATGAAAGGCGCCAGACACAGGCAACCTCTTCGTATTTCTCACTTCCCATTCTTGACCATACTGTTCTAAAAACAGCAAAGCCTGAAAAATGAAGTTTAATGTTTAAAAAGGGAACATCTGCAAAGGATACTTAAAATCAAATTGAATGTCAAATTTTTTTGGCTCATTTCGCACAATAAATATGATTATTCTTCAAAAACGAAGTGAGGCATTGATATGAAAATTGGCACAGATGTTATTATTTCAGTCCTACATCACATAGCACACAAATCTCGGAAAAATATTTTTAGTCCCATTATGTCAAAACACCTCAGTGGAGTCCCTTTCATTGTGCAGTAAGTGAGGCATCACAATAATATTCAGGAAAAATTGAATTCCTAAGCAGTTTGCAAATGGTTACAAATGAATTTAACAAGAAAGTTAGGAGACCCAACATGTAGATCTTTCATATATTGCTTTATAACTTTTTACCTTACACCAGCAACAGCTCAAAGCTGCATGCCCCTAGATTAGCAAAAATATTTCAAGAAAATCAACATGTAAAATGTACAAAGATTTTGAGATAAGTATGTGTTCACAAGTCAAGAAATAATCAACATGTTGTATGCAACTAATCACTAATTTTGCTGAATTTATCACCATATTTAAACAAGAGCTGTTGGTAGGACAGCACACTCGACTATTATAAGTGCTTGATTGTAAAAGAGCCTTGATAATGTAAAAAAATTTAAGTTAACAAAATGGCAAATTTTTTTTTACAAAGCCATGTTATAGGCCTTGGAGAGTCCTATTATGCTCACAAAGAAGTGTGTAAAATTGCAACTTGTTGTCGATGAAATATGGAAATATCTGAGGCAGTACGCAAACTTTAATGTAAATTCTAAGTCGAAAAAGGGGCATATTTCTGTCAAAATGCTTGATACAGTTACCTCCTACTGTCTTCAGGTTGGGGTCATGATGGTGAACAAGTGTGCAAAGTTTCAAAGCCATATGTCAATGGACTTTGAAATTATTTGAGGTATTAAAAAACTTAAACATTTGTTTGTTTGTTTGTTTGTTTCATTTTACGCCTTTTCCCAACAGTATTTCAGTCATATAGGTAGGTAGTTTCCTAACCATCGTTCCTGGAGAGTTACATCAGTACTAGACTACCTTCCTCCGTGCTCAACTACCAAAGCATCTCCCGGGGATCGAACCCACGCCAGAGAGGTAACTGGATTAGAAGTCATCAACTCAACCCCTCAACCACGGAGGCGGCTTAAAACTTTAACATAAGTGGTTACGCCGACACCAACGCTCGCATGACTAGTATAACTCTACTTATTCTTATTGAATAGTCAAGCTAAAAATTATACTTTGTGCCTAACGTAGTAAGGGTTATTTTTCCATATTTTGATCTAATTTTTGGGTAGATTTTAAGTGTCGTTTGCAATGTTTAAATTACTTCCCTTGTTCAAGATTTTACTTTTTAATTTTGAAAATTTTCATGGAAATTAATAGAATCTGGAGGCATGCTACTTTACATTTAGAATGAAGTGTAAATAAAATATATCTGTCAATGTTCCAGTCATCATATGGATTTTTTTATATTATCATCTGGATAAAGCCTTGCGGAATAAACTTATCTATCTCCAGATGATGACGTCACATGGTTAACAGCAAATCAAAAGTACATAAAGACACTGTTTTTTTGGGGACAAGTAAGAATGAAACCATTTAAATAATCCAAAAACATGAACAAAGTAGACAAAAGCAGGACAAATCAAATACAATGTTGATGTCAGGGATAGGAGAAGGTTTATCTGGTTCACTGCCAAAGTGAATCTTGGCTCGCTTAAAAGATCTCAAGACTGCATTTCTTGCTCCACTGGATTAAACTTCTCCATCCCGAGCATTCAACCGATGTATACCTGTTCTAAGGCATTGTCCAGTATTCCTCCACTTAGAAACTTCTCAAAAACTACCAACCTCTCTCTGCCAGGAACATTTAAGATTAGTACACAGATAGTGCAATCTGGGCAGACGGGATTCCTCACATAGCAGTCTTAATTTACAGTATTCTTTTGCGGCAGCCATTGCCGAGAGTAATTTAGTCTGGTGACCACATTTTACAGTTAACATCCCACTAGGAACCGCCTCTGATGCCTCCTGCATAGCATTAGCTCGAAGATTGATCAAATGTATACCTGTAAACAAATATAAAAGTTAAATGTCAAAAATATTTTTTCAACTTAATGTCAAATATAGCCAAAATATAATAATGAAGCATAAACAAACTTAAAATATGGAGAAAAAAAATAAACAAGAAAGAAATGACAGCTACATATAATAATCAGTAATTAGGTCACAATAGTTTTTGACCGCAGCTGTAAAATTTTTAAAATGATAGTATATTTTCACCAGGAAATACTACAGTATTAAAGGTCTGGGCATTCTAATTTCACACATGAAAACCTTATTAAATGTGTTTTACTATGTAAGTCTATATATAACTAAGTTACACTGGGGCAAAAACCAATTTGGTCCCATCTGCATGGTTTATATAGTATTTTTAGAGGACACCAAATTGATGCTACATGCAGTCATGCACAATATCTAAGTTTTGGTATTGTACTTTCAGAGATTTTTAGGATATTCTTACAATGAAAGTCTAAGACTATACATACTAAGTCACCCACAGGGCATTGATACTAAATGCAAAAATATGCATGCAAAACATCAAAACTCTGGGCATTGTACTTTCAGGGAAGAACAATTTTAGGACATATAAAATTAAAATGTGCAAAAAATTAAATACCATCTTCAAAGCTGATTGCTTCACTTGCAATAAGAGCAGTAATTTCTCCAACACTGAAACCAGCCATCCCAGTACATTTTTCCAAAGCCTAAAAAGAATAGAATCTCAATTAAACATTTTAAAAAAGAAAACAAAACTACTCAATTTTGGATACACCTAGAAAACATGTGGTCTTGAACAAATTATAATTAAAATTTCATATAAATTTGACATTGACAGTCAAGGCCATTCAAAGGTCAAGGTCACTTTGAATTATCATTAATCATCATTGTCATTTTTGTCACGAGTGTTCTTTTGTCCAAGAATGAACTAAATCCATAAATAAATAACAAAGTTATGACAACTTAACCAAAATTCAATACTTTGACCTTGACGGTCAAAGTCATTTCAAGGTCAAGGTCAGTTCAACCTTTTAGAATTTTCAAGAATGAACTTAATCCATAACTAAATAACAAAGTTATAATAACTTAAGTAAATTTCAACAATCTGACCTTGATGGTAAAGGTCAATTTAAACCTGCAACTTGACTATTTAAGCCACTAGATGGCGCTGGGGTAGATTTTCATGGTATTTTTGACATGCTTCACATCTAACAGCCCTTTTTTGAAATAGTAAAATAACCAAGAAGTATTTTGCCTAAAAACTTTTTGTATAACTTCTTTGCAACATTTGAAATAAAATGGCAGAGAAAATATCACAAAAGATTCACTTAAATGTACTTTGTGAAAAAAAAAAATCAGTTAACTGTCAAAAATTTGAAAATCCCGGGGCGGAGTAAATGGGGTCATGAACTGCAGGTTGTAAACAAATACACGTGGCAGTGTTAACTTTCCAGTAGAAACTTGAAATATTACTCTAGGAAGGGAGCTGCTGATCAGTAATCGTCTGCTATAGTGTTTGTTTACATCAGCTAAATTTAGCACAGGTACAGCGTCCCTTGCATGATTTATCTGATAAACACGCCTACAAAATTCTCCCTACCAGGGCAGGGATTTTTGTGGCTTTTAGGTCAAGGTCATATTTGAATAGTTCAACATGCTGGTTTTGCCAGACATGTATGTATTAATTTGTCCAAATCAAATCTGTAATTAAATAACAAAGTTATGACAAATTTAATCAAATTTCAATATTAAATTTGACCTTGAAGTCTTGTTAAGTTTAAGGTCATTTTAGAATATTTTTTGACAATTTAAGCAAATGTCCTTGCCCTTGGAAAGTGACTTTCAAAATGTGGTCACCAAGACATATAAAGTCTAAAATGAAAACATTTAGTGTTGTGAAGATTGATATTGCATGCACAAACTTAACCAGGATTTTTTTTAAGTCCACAAAGGGCTCTAACTTAAAATCCATGCTAAGGTTACATTTTTGTGCCTTGAACAGTGACCTCCTATAATGATTTAAAGTTACAAGCAAACATCATTAGTGATGCTACAGAAAAAAGTGCACATAAAACTTAAACCAAAGTGTTACACCTAAGCAGATGCCCAGGTGAGTAGGATGGAACCACTATTTCTTTGAACAGTCTAATTAAAGTAAGTATCACAACCACCACTCTATATACAGTAGAACTTCGGTCAGGTCACATATAAAATGACACAATTTTGAGCTGTCAACATAAATAAGGGAGTAACAAAAAAACGTAACATAAGTAAAGGGTTACAACTAAACCAGCTTATAATAAACAGGATCAAAAGTGTCAAATTCATCAATGGACTTTGATGTATTTATGGTAAAATGTTCTTGATTAACTTGTTACAGATCAAGTAAAAACTTCTACACATCAAAAAAATGACCCATAAAAATCCTGCTGTATTCATTTATACAATAATGCAAGAAAAATAAATATGAAATAGTATTTCCATTCTAACATGCCAATAAAAAAGAAGAAAATTGATAAAAAAATATGTTGAACTACATTGAGCATACAATGTAGAAGTAATATTCCTAGCTTCATTTGGTTTATTGATGTTATAAAATAACCGCATTTTAGAAACTTTAGATCAGTGTTCGAAATTAGCAGTAGTCTGATAGCCCCTGACTACTAAATTTCTCCTCGGGCTACCAACTTTACTTTTCACAGTAACAAGCACGACCAGGCTACTGTATTTTCAGAGGCAATATATAAACAACTGTTTTGAACAAATGAATCGTGCTAGTGAAATGTCTTTTGGGCTAGTGAATATTCCAATCTGGTAGTCCGACCAGCCTAGTTGATTCAAATCCAAATTTCTTACACTGTTAGATGAATGATTTTATCTATCCTTGACAGTAACAATAAAAATAACCGACTTCCTTATCATTAGTAAGTATCAAGCAATCATTTTTGTCTATATTCCTTTAATCATATTTGATCATTCTTTACTCATACAGTTTTGATAAAGTTGTAAATTTTAATCAAATCATCAAATAACCTTTGGAAATTCCTCTCTCAATCTTTCCATTGCTGCTAGTGAGGTTACCACAACTGCTGGTTGGCAATATAATGTTTTATCTAGCATATCTTTAGGACCACCAAGACACATTTTCAACAAGTCATATCCTAATATTTCACTTGCTTTTCTGTATAAATCTTCAACACCGGGAAATGGTAAAAGTTTTTTACCCATGCCAACAAACTGACTACCTTGTCCTGGGAATAACAAAATAGAGGTTTCATTTGGTTTTATATCGGGAGGTCTGTATGCATGTTTCTCTTGTTTGCGGAGTTCCTTCCTTCTTTCAACATCTGAAGGAAAATCGATTTCAATCCGTCTGTCAACAACTGAATTCTCTAATGCTTGTTTAAGTTCAATATAAGAGGACTTTCGTCCTTCAGGTCTATATTCTAGATCATCAATACTGAGACCTTTCTGTTCTAAACGTCTTCTTATCCTTCGCGGAATGTATTGCCCTTTCTCTGGCAAGTTAGATTCTCCACCACCTTCACTTTCTGTGCTCAACCAAAGCCTGTGAAAAGCACATATTGCTGGTCGATTAAATAAAAGATTTGTAACTGTCGACGTTTTTGGGATATGAAATCTGCAAGAAAGACTCATTTTTTCTTTTCAGATTCTAGTTTTTTCGTTCTATTTTCATCACCTATGTTTATTTTTTGATTTTCTCGTGTAAATTTATCGTACAGTAAGTAGACTTTATGCGCTAACTAAATCTAATGTGCGTTTTCATAATAATGATCAAAGTCGTAAACTGTGTACTTGATTATTTGTTATAACCTTGAATGATTTAGAATTCTCAATAATTTGACCGACTGAGCTCCCAGACCTTGATAAAACAAAATTAATTGATTAAACAAAAACTATGATATATCTACATTCAGTTCAACAAAAAAGAATCTTAACATAAAAACATATATAATTTCAAAACGGTACCGAAGACCAAATATTGGTCTTGCTTGAAAAGCTAGGATACATATAGCCCAAAAATAAAATTAAGGTAGCAAGACACACAGGAACTTGAAATTCTATCAATATTAATGATAATATCCAAATATACCCCCTATATACTATAAATAAACGCTATTTATACTGTATAGGCCTAGTGGGTATATTTTGGATATTATCATTAATATTGATAGAATTTCAAGTTCCTGTGGCAGACACTTCACCCCTCAAATTTTGAAGACACTTAACCCCTCAAGACACTTTACGCCCCAAAATCAGTAAGACACTTCACCCCTCATCATTTTTTTTATAAAATAAGCCAACAATATAATGCTTTTATATATCATGTGATTATTTTAATTATTTTTAGTATAATTTGATTTATAATTTTAAGGACAATTTAAAATTACAGACATTTCTAAGAGTAAATATTTGTTAAGTAAATAATTCAAAAACAAATAAGACATGTAATTACACATGTAATAATTTCTTTAAATCATTTACATATAACATGCAATAAAACATAACATTTTACTGGTTCTAAAAACCACATTCATATAAATGTCCATAAATTCACCCACTTTCTCCAAGAACTCCTTCTTCTCCTTCTTCCAATATAGTACAGACACCTTCCGGCATATACTCGTACTAGCGCAGCGCGGTGTGAGAAGTATCTATGTATGTACAAAAGTGATTGAAAATGTACTATGTACTGTGCTGGTAAAAATAGATAAATACAGAATCCCTAAAGAAAGCCCAACACGACAAAATTGAAAATGTTGCAGGCTCGGTTTGATTGAGCCTGGTTATGGACGGTACTGGAAAGTGCAAGTTACCGTCCACGCCCCCTAGCACCGGCTTAAGCAGAATTCAACATTTAAACATGAAATAGTAAAATTTTGAATTTAGAAACATCCGCAGATGTGTTCATACGGCGGTTATCATGGAACCTTCAATGTGACACTTCCGTGCCACTCCATGAAAAGCGGCGTATGGTCCCCAAGTAATAAAAAGCGTGTGCCCTAAACGAGAAAACAATGGGCGGAACTAATTAAAATGAAATTTTGAAAGGGGATCAGAGGTTATGAAGCCTGCATATCACAGATAAGAAGTCAAAAGGCAAATTTAAAAAGCAGGCAACATATTCTTAAAATGTAAAAACACCTGACTGTCTATCGGAGAGTGAGTGGTAGTACTTCCCTCTTGAAGCTGTCTATGGTTGTACAGCTTACAACTGTCTGGGGAAGACTGTTCCAGAGGCGGATGGTGTCTGGGAAGAGGGATCGCTGGTAGCACTGGGTCCTTGCAAATGGTACCAGGTAGTGAAGTCCATGTCCTCGAGCAGAGATGATTCGGGTGAGGTTGGATGTAGGGACTTCAACTAGGCCATTTACTATGCAGTACATCATGGTCACCTTACAATGGGCTCTGCGTTCTCGGAGGGTAGGCCACTGTAAGTGTTGCAGCATCGGTGTCACACTGCTGGTTCTTCTGTAGTCTGAGAAAACCATTCTTGCCGCTCGGCGCTGCACTTTCTCCAGTTTCCAGATATTTGCCTCAGTGAAAGGGTCCCAGATGATAGTGGAGTATTCCACCAGATGTCCCACGAGGGTCATATAGCAGAGCTTTTTGGTCCTTCTTGGGCATTGATGGATGTTTCTCTGTAGAAAGGATGTGGCATTGTTGGCTTTCTTTGTAGTGAGGTCAATGTGATGGTTCCAGTTTAGTGACTTTTGGAAGTTGAGGCCTAAATATTTTGCTGTATCTACTTCTTCTAAGATGTGTCCATGGATGTTATATGGTTGTCTGATTGGATTTGGATGGCACACAGGAGTCTAGGACTTTCAGGAGATTGTCTTTTTGTCTGCCCACATAGTGTTGATATGGCTAATTTTTGTGTAAGTTTCTTTAAAGTGTTGTTGAAATTGGTGACATTTGCTTCTCAGTTGGTCTATATCTGCATAGATGAAGATCTTAATTCAAGATCATCGTATTGCCCACTGTTATACAAAGCACATATCCATTATTAAGTGTTTATTGCATGTCAGCTTGTTTATTCAACTTGTTTATTGGTTGTTTATTAAGCAGTTATCTCATAATTGATTAGATAATTGGATTAAAAAGGTATAATTGTATGAAAATGAAATAAATTAATAAATAAATAATAGTGTATGCCTTTTGGCATCAGTCAGCAATTTCCGGTAGAAGTCATGGAACGCCGACGAAAACTAGTTCCGGTCATGCTCGACGCACGGAAAGCCGGGAAGGAAGCGTATCTCGCAGCAGACAAGCTGTACATTGACGGACATTTGTACAGGGAAGGGGCGACTTCCGGTTCCGGCTAGGATCGTCACAGAGCAGAGATACGGTGTGTAGCGTGGAATATTGAAGGACTTTCTCAATTAAAGAAAAATAACACTGACTTTACAAACTTTATTGGTAATTATGACATCATATTTTTAAGTGAAACCTGGACTAATAAAACATCAAAAATAGAACTAAGTGGGTATAAACTTTTTCACTCTTATAGAAAATTTCAGAATAAACGAGCCAGACGGAGCAGTGGGGGCATTTTAGCGTATGTAAAAAGGTCGATCATAAAAGGTGTTAAACTAGTCAGAAATGACATTGATTGTATTATGTGGTTGAAACTGGATAAATATTTTTTCCAGGTACCAGAAGATATCTATCTATGTTCCATATATATTGCCCCAGAAAGTTCACCTGTTCATAATCTATATGATACTGATATATTTAGAAAATTAGAGAATGATATAAATTGTTACGAAAATAAAGGAATGGTATATGTGTGCGGAGATACAAACTCGAGAATTGGTTCAAAATCTGACTGTATAAATTATGATATATTGTTATATGATCATGATTATTTGGCTATGGATACATTTATTCCGCGGACGACGGCTGATCGTGGTACAAACCGGTTTGGGGAGCAATTACTTGATCTTTGTAAATCTACCGATATACGCATTGTAAACGGACGGTTGGATAGCGACGCGAATCTCGGGAAACCTACTTGTTATACGTATAACGGGAATAGTGTAGTGGATTATTTGTTAACAAAAGCATGCAATTTTGAAAATATTTCAGAGTTTCGTGTTCATGATTTGACCGCCCACTCAAATCACGCCCCGATTTCATTCTCGGTGAAAGTAAGGACCGTGCCAGTCGTAACGAATCCGCGTAAACGCACGATTTATAAATGGAATCCAGAATATAGGACGGAATTTGTAAACGATATTTCGCGAGACATAGAAATGCTTTGCCAAAACTTAAATGAATCCAAGCAAAATAACCAGAATCCAGATGAAATGGTTAATATTTTTACAACATATTTATCTGAAAGAGGTAATGCGTATTTTGAAACTTGTTGTAAGGCAACTGTTAACGCATGTTTCAACGATAATAAAACGAATAAATGGTTCGATGAAAGCTGTAAACAAAAGTATACTGTATATAAAAATGCTGTATTAGAATTTAATGCTAACAAATCTGTAGAAAATAGAGAATTATTATATTTAAAAAAGAAGGATTATAAATATCATTGTAGAAAAGTAAAACGGAACTTTGACAGAAAACAAGCTGCAAAAATGAATGAATTGAGAAACAAAAAGCCAAAAGAATTTTGGAGGATGTTTCGTCAAAGTAAATCAACCGTGTCTGATGAAAACATAGATTTGGATGATTTTTATAATCATTTTAAGAACTTAGCATCTGAATTTTCTGTTACGGAAGATGACGAAATTGAAAATTTTTTACATATTTTTGATGAAAATGCAAATTCTAACTCTACTTTTGAGGAGCTTGATGTACCTTTTACGACTGATGAAATAAGAAAAGCTATCAAAAAACTAGGAACAAATAAAGCTAGCTCTTTTGACCACATTATGTACGAGTATTTCAAAGAAGGTATAGATATTTTAGACAAACCTTTAGAAATATTGTTCAATTATATTTTAGATACGGGTTGTTTTCCCAAATCATGGTCACAGGGAGTTGTTATACCTGTTTTTAAAAAAGGTGATTCTAGTGAACCTACTTATTATAGAGGTATAACATTAATCAGCTGTTTTGCAAAATTATTTACTGTTGTTATTAATGAGCGTTTAAAAAAGTGGGCTGATATTAATGATATACTCACTGATGCACAATTTGGTTTTAAATGTAACTATATCACAGTAGACGCTATATTTCTCCTTCATGCTTTTATAGAACGACAATTAAAACAAAAAAAGAAATTATATTGCTGTTTTGTTGATCTTATGAAATGCATTGATTCTATTTACAGAAATGCCTTATGGGTAAAATTGATAAATCATGGTGTAAATGGACGCTTATTTTGTGTAATCAGGTCTCTGTATGAAGATGTTAAATTATGTGTACGTCATATGGATTCCTTGTCTGATTTTTTCAAATGTGATGTTGGATTATTGCAAGGGGAGATAATTTCTCCGATACTTTTCTCATTATTCGTAAATGATATTGAGTTGTTTTTACAAAAAGATGATAGTTCTTGTTTGACATTAGAGCAACTTTCTATATACCTACTACTTTTTGCCGACGATGCAGTCATTTTCTCAGAGACGGCGCATGGGCTTCAAACTTCATTACATAATTTAAAAGACTATTGTAATAAATGGCAATTAAAAGTAAATGTTAATAAAACGAAGGTTCTTGTATTTAAAAAGGTGGAATGGCCAATGTAAATGAACATATTTATTACGACGGGGAAGAATTGGAATTTGTTTCAAGTTTTAATTACTTAGGTATTGTGTTATCTAGTGGTGGATCTTTTAAGACAGCAACAAAAACATTAGCTGATAAAGCTCTTAAAGCTATGGGCTCATTATTTAGTATTACAAAATGCATTGAAGTTCCTGTAAATATTATGTTAAATTTATTCGATTCATATGTTGCATCTATATTGAATTATTCTTGTGAAGTATGGGGGTTTGAAAAAGCGGAAAATATTGAACGAATACATAGAAAATTCATGAAATGGATACTCAATGTTAAAATGTCTACTGCTAATTCTGCATTATATGGTGAATTGGGTAGATATCCATTATATGTAGTTAGACAAGTTAGAATTGTTAAATATTTCCTAAAGTTGTATGTTGAAAAGGATTATAACTGTATTTTATCAAGCACAATGAACACTTTAAGATACGAAGCTGAAAATTGTAACTTTGTGAACTGGGCATCTAAAGTCCGAGATTTACTACAAAACACCGGTTTTCACGAAGTATGGATGTATCCTTCTTCGGTAAATATTAATATGTTTGTTCCTATTTTTCGTACTAGAATTATTGACATGTATATAAATAATTGGAGACAAGATATTTGTTCAAAGTCATCTTTGTTTTTATTTAAAGAATTAAAGCCAGATTTTGAAAGGTCCGAATATATAAATAAAATGAAATGTCGTAGTTTAAGAAATATTTTAGCTAAAATACGTTTATCTTCACATGACCTACATATTGAAACTGGTAGACATAGAAATATAGATAGAAACGATAGAAAATGTACACTGTGCCAATGTAATGATATTGAAGACGAATACCATTTTATTTTAATATGTCCAATGTATGCTTTACTTAGAAATCAGTATATTCCTAGGTATTATCATAGACACCCGAGTATGCTCAAACTCACACAATTGTTGAATTCTACAAATGTAAAGGTCTTAAACAAATTGGCTCTGTTTTGCAGAAATGCTTTTAAATTAAGAACAAATGAATTAAATTCTTTGTTATGATCTGATGAAATATGTAATGTTGTTTGCATGTTTATAATATGATATTTACATTATTACTATGTGCATGTAAAATTTGTTGTATGTAACGATGAACTGTAAATGTTCAAGTTAGATTCAAATAAAATTTCTGTTCTGTTCTGTTCTGTAAAATAAATAAATAAATAATATTGTATGAAAAATAAATAAATAAATATTATTGTTTGAAAAGAAATAACCTGGGATGTACTATAACGTATGTTCCAGTATGAATATAAAAGAATATAAATGAATGAATGAAGGAATTATGAATGAATTATTTATCCATTTATTGTAATAATTAATAAAAAAAGAACAATTTGTATTTTCCCTACTTAAAAAATGTTGCTAACAAATTATTAAGTAAACTTACCGGTATCACATGCTATGTGTTGCCAGTTCAGTTTGTATTCATGTTTTGCTTTCTAAATTCAATTCATTAAACAAGATACTGTCAAAGGCACAAAGGAAGTGTGAAAGAGATGATATACTTAATATATATCAAAGGAAAATTCACACAAAGGTTCACACACTTCAATAGAAAGATTATTCTACAATTAGTTATATCACTTTCACTTAAATTGAAATTAGTATAAATTACATATATAAAAATAAAATAGAAAATAAAGAATTTGCTTAATTACTAATAACTTTGTGATATGAGCCTTTTTTAGGGCAAAAACAACAATATATATCCATTGTCTTTGGTCAATTAGTACATGATAAAATAATAATAAAATATGCTATTTTCACGAAAATAAGATCGCGCTATGAGTATGAAAATAAGATTTATTTTTGAAAAAGTGCATTCATCTGTTTGAATAATTATGTTAGTTATATATTTATCCATTCTTTGGATGGTTTTACAGCAAATAAAAATTTCAGAACCAAATTAAAGAATTATCTAAAAAAAAGTTGCAGTTTGAGCAGAAAATACATACATATAAAAAAAATAGTCAAATCGCTGTTCTAGCGAAAATAAGATCGGGCCTATGAAAATAAGATTTATTTTTGATATAATGCATTAAAAATGTATTTTTGTTGTTATAAAATGATTTGTATGAATGAAATAATAAAGAATGAAATGTTTTGTAATGAAATATTAGACGTATTTATTTTCAAAAGTCTGAAGATTAAATATTTTAAAACGACAAAAATCAAGTGAAGTCAAGGTTATCCAAGATGGCGGCCCTTATCCGGAAGGCCGGTGAAATACAACAGAAAACGTTGCAATTCACTAAACAGAAGGTGCATTAGCTACTATTCGAAATTTTGAAGACTTATTGAAACCTAAGTGTCACGTCTGCCATCCGCTTTATGTTATTACGTCTTTCTTTCTTTACATATAACGCTCAAATCGGTCATTAAGTCTTAATTCGGATACATCCGAATTCTACTGCATTTCATTTTGTTTTTTGTGATTTATCAAAAATTAATTAAAATATATTTTTGCTGATCACTTTGTTGTTTATTTTAGATTTGTTAGTTTAATAGGTCAACTAGTGTCCAATGTGAACACATGTCACATAAAAATATGCTATTCTCTGGAATTATCGTTTCGTTCAAAGCCTTGATAATGGCCAAATTAGGTTTTTTAGGTATCGCAAATTTTTCTGGCAGTTTGTGACAAGCCTGCTAGGACATTGGGTACAATGGCCCACTTGACAATACACCAGCATTAATATGAAATTAGGTGCTCCCTCTGATGGGGAAAGTCCGTCTGATTTAATAACAATCATAAAATTTTCAATGTAAGTAAATGAAGGTATTTTACTATGGGCGGTCTCTTTGGGATGAATATTCCGATCCGAACTGCAACATGACAGATATTATCAATACATGTACATTTATTTAGATAAGCCGTTTAGATAATGAATAGATTTGTAATGTTTCACAAGTTTCTTGTCAATTTTTTCAGGCAATCCATGCAGCAAATTTTTCCACAGTAGGTTAATTTTATTTCTTGTATAGTATAATACATTTTCATTTTATTTAGAATACAATAAACCCAGTACATTTTACCTGATAAACAGACCCATAGAAAAAATTGCCAGTTTTTCCCAAATGATATCCTAAGTTCCCAATGCCTATAAAATTGATTTTTGGGCTTATGGTAAGAGTCTTTTTTGAAAAAAAATTAAATCATGCACACATGACAGTAAAGTGAACCCTTTGCAGTATTGTTTAAAAACCTTGTATACCTTTATTAGCATCAGATACACTGTCAGGCAAGAGGAAATTACTCAGTCATGCTTTTGACAAAATTATTCCCCTTTTAATAAATTAAAGTTTCTTTTTAGTGTTTTGTACCACTCCTTTTCTCAAATTCTGCTCTGAACGTAATGAGACATTGCTTTGAAACATGGATTACAAGGGTCAACATACAAAAAACTTTATTTTTGGATTTTTTTTTAGCATTAACACCTCATGCAGTGCTCTTGTTTGAAAATTCTATACAGGGCCATTCTTAAAAAAATGTTTGTTTGCAGTAACGCGACAGACTCACAAAATTTGCCCGTACTCAAATTTTTTTTCATGGTCTGGATAAAAAAAAATTTTTTTTTGAATCAGAAAATTATGCCTTATGCTTTGTTTTTGTTCTTTTAAAGGTTAATAGAAGAAATAAAATGTAGTTCTTATTAAATTAGAATTCAGTTATCAATTTATTAATTGTTACCAGATTATCAAAGCATAAAATTATATTGTCCAGCATTTTGAAATTCCATGTTTATATGGGAGTACAGTTCAATAAAAAAAAAAATAAATAAATAAATCGACCTACCTACCCACCTTGAAAATTCTGGGTCGGGTTACTGCAAACAAACATTTTTTTAAGGACGGCCCAAGGATTGTTCAATAAATTATTCAGAAAATCATTTGTTTTGGTCAAATTATCATTTTTCTAATCATTTCATAGTCATTTGGCAATTTCTCAGTATTTGTGAAGGAGTCATCTGTTTGAACAGATATATGATTATAATTAGTCCATATCTTTAGTGTCATTTTACATAAGAGCATGAAAGTTATTCAAAATACTATTCATTTATTGTACATATTGATATACATGTACTCATCGTATAGATCAATAAAAACTTGCATTATACATGTAGTAAGATCTTATTGAAAAATTAAAATTTAGCAATTTTTATGTACATGTGTTCAAAAGTTATTAATTTTACTTACAGATATTACCCACTTCAAAGATGGTAGTTTCAAGGGTTGGGCCGCCTATTGTCAAGTCTTCAAAATATGTAGCAAAGAAGATGGGACCACCATTGAAAAAGACGTCAAGATATCTTGTTTCTGCTGCAAGACCATATGCTGAGAGGTATGATAGTCAAAACTTTACAATGTTATTTCATGAATAAGAAATGTTCTGGTGTCATGCATGCCATAATTTTTTGATAGCTTTCCTGGGCATGCCATTTGTTGTAAGAGATTGGGAGGGGGTTGTTACACATGTCTTGGACGATATTTCAGTTTAATAAATAGTATATTAAACATAAACAAAGTGCAGAAACTCAAGCATGTTATTTAATAGGATTCAGGCTCAAAAACATTAATTGTTCATTGCTGACACATACTGCCTGAATGTATGTTTGGTCCACCTTTTCCATAAAAAAGTGATAGATTAATGATTTCAGGGACTAGCGATATTTTACAAGGGCATTCTATAAATAATCAGTTGTAACTTGTTGAAAGACAGCAGAAAAGTTGTTGTAGATTTTCACTCAGCTTGTAGATATATTCGTTTTATAAATTGAATGCCTGTACATGTTGTATACTAGCCAGTAATATTATTCCCATTTTTATGATGTCTGATTAATTACACAGACCATTAAATGGTGATGAATTTAACACATTCACTAAAATCAGTTGGTCTTAAATGGCGTACAATGACTTTCAGGGATAATCAATTATGTAAAGGCTGTATATCATTAAACTTGTGTCAGCATTTCATATGAAAGTGTCTTTAAAAAGTTGTATTAATCGAGTTAAGTTACACACATTTAATACTGAGTAGTTTTAATCTCTTAATACAATTTTGTTATTAAGTATAATACAGTGTTGTAATTTATCAACTTCCTATTGTTTAAGAGCAAGCAATGCTGTGGTAATGAAGGCCACTCCACATATAGAGAAAGCACAAGCAAGTTTGTCAACTCTTGTACAGAGTAAAGATAGAGAGTCATTGTTACCAGAAGAGGAAGATAACTACAGGTAAAACATAAACCACATATATACACCATTACCATATGTGCACCATTACTTTATATACATCATTACCATAGATCAACATTACCCTGTGTACAAAATTATTTCATGTTTGTGACAATGTCATTACCATATATGTCATTATCATATATTACCCTGTGAACCCCATTACTCCATGTACATTTACAGTTTTAACAATTGCAGTATCATAATTTATCTGAAAATTCTTACAGGTTATATTATATGACTGCAGTATCAAAAATTATCTGAAAGTTTAGATAAAAAATTTCATTATCTTTTAAGTGCAGCTAGTATTGGCAGGCCTTTTAAAGAGTTATTTCAGTTTTATCTATTTTAAAGATCAATGGATAAATTGAGCTGTGAACATGTTTTTTAATGGTTTTGCAGGGAAAGGTTTATTCAAGTAACTCGTAAGTCAATAATCCGCCATCTTATGCAGAAGAAAGATTTCCTCACACAAGAAGAGCTAAAAGTGTATGAAGATTTCGCATTGGCCTTAGATACAGCTATTGTTAATAAATACCATGGAGTTCTTCAAGAGCTAAAGGTACATTGCACTTTATTGGTTTGAAAAAATATATTTAAGATCACTTTAGTATTATCTTATGATCTTACAATAAAGAAAAAAGCAATAAAGAAAATGTAATGTAACATCAGATAATCAATTTCCAAATTAGAAAATAATCAAGTTCTCCTTTAAACCTTATTTTTATACCCCAAGCACATACACCAAACCTTATTTTCATACTACAAAAGCACATAAATGGAGGTGGTGGGATAGTCTCTTTGTCACATCTTTTAGTCTTTGCCTCTGTCTTCATGTGTCTGCTGTATAAAGCTTTTACCATAATCTGTGCTCAAATGTCCACCTGAAAAAGGGGATGTGCAGAAACCCACAAGTTACACTTGTGCTGACTCAATGTTAAGACACAGTTTAGAGATCTATAAGTTTTAAATTCACTGAACAAATGTTCAGATGAATAGACATTTATGTTACTTAGGTCCTATTTTGATTATGAATAAATTTCAATGTGCAAATATTTTTGTCCAAGTTTGATGTCTTAGATATTTATTATTGACAATTATTTGTTACTATTGTAATTTTATGAATTTTGATAAAGAAGGCAAACAACTTACATTTTGTATATATTGTTTTCTTTAATATTGCAGAATCTTTTTGACCCACTGAACCCAGACAAGGACACAATAGAAACTAGGAAATGGAATCCAAGAGAGCGTCAGGAAAATGAGTTCTGGTTGCTACAAAGATTGGATGATTTAATGCAGAAAGCAAACTTCCATGAACTGCCAGACGAGATTGTTAATAAAGCATTAGAGGAGCATGTGGTGTCAGATGGTGTTAGAGTAGGTATTCTGTATATCTACCTTCATCTTATGATTTTAAATGAGATACATAAACGGACTAGTTCAGTGTCTATTCTAGGATTTGAAAAACAGGGGGGATTTTAATCAAAAAGTGCGAATTTATAACATCTTTTTCATCTTTTTCCTTCTTTATCTATGTAAAATTTTCCCCCTGCCTCTGAAAAATTAGGGGGGAATTCTCAAAAATATGGGTGAATCCCCCCATCGTCCCTCCTAGAATAGACACTGCTAGTGAGATATAAATCATATCACACTGTTTTGAGAAAGTAAAGTGAAAGTCATTTTCAAAGAACATTGTTTGGTTTACTTGCTGGGACTTATCCCACCTGGGACTAAGCATTCATTCATGTTAGAGAGCTATCCAGCTGGTTTACAAAATGTAAAACCCAATCAAATGAAAAAGTCCCTGAAGACGATTCATAGAAATAAATGCTAACTTTTTTTATTAAGGAACTTTGTCAGTTTTTAAAATTGTTTAATTTTATATATTTATTTTAATTGTCAATGAAAAAATAAAATTTAATCAGCTTTTGAGTTAATGAAAGTTAAACAGATTTGTGAATTTTTACAAAATTCAATACTTTAGATGTTTTAGACTTTGATAAAAGACCTTTTGTTTATACAGGTTTCAGTGGACAGAAACAAGTATGATGTGATGAAATTCTGGGCGTTAGGACGAGAGAAGATTCCAGTGAGCGTACCTTGGTATAAAGCTTTGTTTATCAAGAAGGAGGACATGCCTAAACCAAAACTGTATTATAAACGTGTTGTGATTGCTCTGCGATTCAAACGAGACCAAAAACTTATGTTAAAGTCTTTCAAGGAAATTCCTGTGAATGCACTGGAAATGATGCTTCCAGATGGAAAAATAGAAATAAGTAAATTTGACAAAGGAATTATTGCAACATCTATGACTTTTGCCGTAACTGGTATCGTTGCAAAGTTGGTTACAGTGTTGGCAGCGATGAATGTGGACTGGATGTTGGTAATGAGTGGTGTAACGGGGCTAATGGCTGCACAAAGCTGGACATTATACAAAAACAAGAGAAATAAATATCTTGTAGATTTATCAAGGCTGTTATACTTTAAGAATGTAGCGAATAATCGAGGCTTGCTGGCTCTTCTTGTAGACAGGGCTGAGGATGAGTCATTTAAAGAGGCGCTGTTAGTGTATACCTTCCTCCTTGCAAACAGGCCAGATACAATGTACAGCAAGAGAAGTATAGAGATGTCACCCCATGAATTAGGTTAGTTACTTTCCAATTAATATTTATGTATTAAAAAAACAAACGATATATAATTGGATTGCCCAAGTGGGCTTGGTGATATAGAGTCTAGACAGTCTCCAGCTTTGTCCAAATCATATGCATGGAGAGATTTAAGTATTACTTGACACAAATGTTCAAAATAATGATACATTGTACTTTATGTTTTGCAAATATCAAAGTAACAGAATTCTATGGAAAACGCTTGCCTTTAGCAAAACTTCTAGATGCACAGAGAGATTTTAAGATAAATTGCACAAATGTTTACCATTGTAATTTGGTGCAAAATTCAGTTTAAGTTCACACATAGAGGTCAACGGTTAGATAGAGGTATGACAATGTGTGTATATACAATTTAATTGTTTTTAATCATAGAGGTATGATGTAAAAAAATTGAGTCTTGCCACTCTAGATCAATATGTGCAAGATCAAGGAGTGATGATGAAATGTCCATATTTTGCCAGGAGAATATCTTCTACATGCATGAATGGATAGAAATTCAAGAAATTTATTTCAAGATTTTTTTAAACTGAAATTCATGTGAAAATAGAGAGTGTTTACACATACAGTGGTCTATGACCATCTCTCTGATGTAATTGGGCTTTTGATTAATTTATTTTATAAAATGAAACATTCAAATTTGTCAAAAATCAAATATTTTGAGGGCCTTTTGTCCTTCTATAGCAGGGGTCCTTATAAGGCTGCTTCCCCAAAGAAAAATTCTTTAAATTCATACACTTTTCCCCAAAAATTGAATTTACATCAAGTTTTTTCTTCACCTTTTACAAATATATCGTGTAATTTTCCCCCAAAATTAAGGATAGGGCTTCTTCCTCAACCTTTGAAAAAAAGCCCTGATTTCCAAACACTAATCTTTTGATTATGCTGTTGTTGATATTTTGTTTTAACTTGAGATATTACATTATAATTTGATTTAGGTGGACTGACTGCCATACAGCTGGAAGGAAGGATAGAGAAGTGGGTGTATGAAGTGACAGGCACCAAGATAGAGTTCGAATCACTGGAAGCTGTAAATCTTCTTAGAAACTTTGGAATTCTTAGTGATATTGACGATAGGTTATATGTGCTCCCTTTACGGGCAGCTGTAAATAATTTACCACAGCAACCACAGTCTGTAGTTGCCAGGGCAACAGAGTCGGATATATATGAGGGATATGACAGAGACACGTTTATAGAAACAGAAGAACAGTATCAGGAAGAAGAGAAAGTACAAAAAAGAATAGGGTGGTTTTGAATACTAAGCTTAAGTATATTGAATAAATGTAAAATATAGATGTGTGCCATTGTACGAATGATGGTGATTTGTAACTTTAAATGGACAATGAAATACTGCCCTGTGAAACTGTGCATAGTGTTTTTTTAAGGAGGAAAACACTTTTATGTGATTGCTTTTTCTTTTTTTTTATAAAGATTTTTGTATAAGAAAGTTATAAGGTTGTTTCTTTGAAATTGATGTGATTATTTGGTGTGAGTAAGCTGTCCAGCTAGCTTATGGAATGTCGGTGGTTCTACTCGGGTGCCTGAAATAATGTGCAGAAGGGCACCTGAGGTCTTCCTCTACCAGTAAAGCTGGAAAAGTCACAGTATGACCTATACTGTGTCAATGTGACATAAAACCCAATCAAACAAATAAAATGCTACACAATAAATGGAGCATCGGTAAGGATTTGATTTTAATGATAATGATATATGTTAGAGATCAGAGGAAATTCTTGCATTTACGTTCAGTTGCCATAATATTATTCATATTGTCAAACATTTTCCAATGATCTATTTTCAGAACCAAGAAATATTGTAACATTTGTGTTATGTCACAATATTTTTTTTTTTTAAATATTTGGACAACCTAAGAGTATCATAAATAGAGCAATATGTGTGTTTGGTTATTTATGTATGGTTTTTGTTAGACTGAAGTGAATCCTTGATGATTGTGAGACATACAATTTTTATTTATATTCTTGTTTTGTTTTGTTTTTTAATTGGTTCAATACAAGCTCCGGTAAAAATAAATAAAAGATGTAAAAACCTCTGGTAAAATATATATTTAGTCAAACATCAAGGTCATTAAGACCTTGAATTTCAAAGCTCTAGGTCATAAACAAGACCTTGAATTTTACAGATCAAGGTCATTAAGACTTTGAATTTAATATTTTTTTTCAACCTAATTGAGTTTCTTATGATCCACAGCCTTCAAATGTTTGTTTATAGGTATTTTTATGGCTGCTTCGTATTTATTCTGAAAGAGCTTTGTTAAGTATACAAATACAACAGTACAAGTCTTTTTTATTTTGCATAATTACCTACTTAGATTTATAAATGTGAAGGACTAATTGTACTAAACAGTTTTGTTGTATGGCATGTTGTATTCTTCTACTGAAACAACTTGCTTATCTTACCAACTTTATTCGATCAAAGGTAAGGTGAGACAAAAGTTGTGGTTATATATTGCTCTAAGCTGGATATATTGCATTCTCCAGAATATTGGGTTGTTCTAATATCCCGACTTGGCAGTTTTACTTTAAAACTACTAGTAGCATTGTTTTCAGAGCAGGAACTGTTTTCATTTACACTTCATATATCAATTGCCTGTCATGTACATTTTTGATTAATTAAAAATGCATAATTTGCAAGAATTATAAATTTGTAATAATCTGCAGAAATTTTAACTTGTCTTACTTGGCAAGATTTTTCAAAATTGAAGAAAATATTGCAATTTATGTACATTCAGGAATGTTTGTATGTCTTAATCTAGTTTCAAAGTGATATTTATTTATGTTCTTCTATAATGTTCTATGCATATTATTTTGTATATAATCCTTTGTAAGCTGATGTTAAAATTCAAGGATTTGCAGTTTTTTGTGATGTATGTTGAATATGAAAAAATCATGGTTTGATTTTATTTTGTGACCTGAACCAAATTTGTTTCTTAATTATGATGTTCTGAAAGTGCTGAATCTGACTTGTTATGAATATTAATAAAATTACATGCATTACTTAAAATCTTTTTTTCCTTTTTTAAATAAATATGATAAATGTACATTATTCATAAGGAAACATTTGACAGATCATATGGAATTAGAATGCACTATTTACATTACGCAGCAGAGCAGGTGGCTGACGAATAGATCCTGGATTTGCCTTTTTGCTATGAAGGTGTAACCTAGACATGTAGAGATATGATGAATGAAACCAAGTGAAAAAAAGTGAAAAGGGAATAGAGATACACAAGAATGTCTTTTATTATAAAATTGAACCTGTTTATAACCCTTCGTGCATGTAAAACTAGATATTAAAAATCTTGTACCAATAAATACAATAGTTAATGAGAAATGTGATACTTGAGGTGTGCATTCCTTTGGGTGTGATGATACCATTTAAGGATATTTGTGGAAATTAGGAAAAAATAGAAACTTTGCAAGTTAGTATAAATTCACTAGAACAGAAGTTTATCAATAATATTTAAATTTACTGATCAAAAACTAAAAAAATAACCATAACTTTGTAACTACCTGCCTCCTATTCTCTTTTATAATTTAGCGATCAGCAAAGTTAACTACAAAACTACTTCATGTAATCGCAAGAATGGTTCAAGTTACAATATATAGGCTCTCAAGAAAGGTATAGTGATAGGCACTGACATGGGCTTGTACAATCTCAGGGTAACACTTTTATATATAAGTCTAAATATTCATGTAACTTTCTGTTCAGCATAAAACAATCAGTTCTCGCTTCTTTTGTGTGTGAATTCTTGCATTTGATTTGCTTAAATCACACTGGAGTTCCAAAAATTAAGCAAATTCTTTATAAAACTTAAGACTGGGTCATGTTTTCTATGGTGTTATATGGATACAGGCAAAACTTAAGTATTGTACTTTTCCATTAAAATATTATAAGAAGATCTATTTAAATGAATAAATTGAAAAAATTGAAAAGGAAAATATTACGCATTTTCAAAATGAATGATTATCTAAAACTATAAATGTTATCTTATTTTCTGGTTTATTATAAGAAAATAATATAGACCTCCAGTTGTTTCGTAGCCATAGTAGAGTGTTTTTGTCCTGTTTACTAATGCCTGCACAATTCGTTAAAGGAAATTAACCTTTATTAATAATAGTATAAAGTTCGATCATTTTCGTGCATTTAACCAGTTCTTTCATGTCTTTTGGCTTCAATTATAAGACCTTATTAACATGACACTCCTGTTATATGTTCGTGTTGCCAGTAATAAAAGCCACCTTGCAAAACGTATTGGCGTACTTAACAAGGCTAGATTGAGTTATTTACAAAAAACGTTAGTCTGTGTAAGGTGAACAAGCCTCTCATTGATCAAGAGTTGATTACTCTTTATAGTATCCAAGTAATAAATGTTACTATTATATTTTATACCACCAATGTTTTATCCTTGAATGAGATACAACAAAGTAAACATACTATATCAGTTAGTTGAAGAATGGTCGATATTAGAAGCACTCCACTGACTTTTAATACAACGCGATTGGAAATATTTTTATACCACTTGATGTACGTTTATACTCATAACTCTTGTACAAAATTTCAGATCATTGCTCACTCCGTTTTTCCAGCAAAAATATTATTGTTTTGCAATTTTACGAATTTTAAAGAATGTTAAAAGTGACAACAAACATAGCGCTTTAAAATATTCATGCATGTTTTATTGTTTTAAATGAAATGATCGATACCGATCACTGATTTTTATTGATCATTTCTCCCGCTATCATCATATTTAAGGTATTGAATATTTCATAACAAACGCTAAACAATTATACAAACAAAAAAAAAGAGAAAGAAAACAGTAAAAATGTAGGCCGCAATGTTTTTGAAAGACATACTTTGACAGCGTGTTGTAGTCGCTTGCAATGTAGGCAATCAGAACCAACTTATGTAAGCGTTCTTTTTTTGCAATGTTTTTTCAATCCTTTTGGTTAAAGCATTCAAAGGACTTAATTTAAAGATAACTGGTGTCATTTCTTTCATAACTATCCCATCACCCTTACTGCTTTCTAGTTTTCCTAAAAATCGTGACATTAAATGCTGATGCAGAAAAAAAGAAAACATCTGATTTTTATTTTTTACCACATTTGTCAAACATTATAAAGAAACTACAGAGACCTTTTGAAAATATTAAAACTTTCATTTAAACCGAAGTAATCTTAACAACGTGTAATTTAAGTACTTCTGGATCACTCGAATAAGATATTTCCTTAAACACAAGTAATGAATTTTTAAAACAAAAAACATGATTTTTTTCTGTCCAAGGAAATATCATTAGGAATATATCATTCTGTTTTTTTTTGTTGGGGAATTATAACGAAATTAAATGATGTGATTCGGATTGCCTTTGGTTAGGATTGTCCTAGGTTATGATTGATTTAGATTCAGGTTGCCTTAGATTAGAACTGCAATAGATCCTGATTGCCTTATATTCGGACTGGCCTCGATTAGGAATGCCTTATATTCGGATTGCCTTAGGTTAGGATTGCCTTAGATTCGGATTGCCTCAGCTTAGATTCGGATTGGCCTCTGTAAGGATTGCCTAAGATTCGGATCGCCGTCGGTTAGGATTGCCATAGATTCGGTTTGCCTTTGATTCAGATTGCCTTAGATTCGGACTTTCTTCACACACTGTATTGGTAATGATCAAAAAGTACAAAAACATATTGCAGCGACCCAGATTTTAGACAACTTCCCATATATTTTCCCATTAATATTAAAACTGAAAGCTGATCTGCAGCAGCAGTATAAATGGGTTTTGATTGACTTAAAATATTATATTTCCGACTGTAATATCCGATCCGTTGCAGGTGATTGGATTTCGGATGATCTGTATTTGAAACACTCATTTTGTATTCAATGGCTATTCAAGTTAAACATAATCTGAGCTACTCTGCTCTATAAATTTATATTTATTTGTTTGCAGAATTGTTTATTTGTTCATGTATAGATGTCGTTCACGAATTTATATCATTAAATAAATGCTTGTAAAACATTTGGAAACAAAATTGAACTTAATTCTTGCGTGAGCCATTCATTTAATGTCTATGATAAACAGTCGTATCAAATTATTTTTCTTTTCCATGCCATTCAATCGTTATTTACACCATTTGTAATTGAGTGTTTTAAAAATAACTTATTTGTAACCATGGAAACGCTATAATTCTTGCAATTCGTTGAAGAATATGGGTGGTGTTTTATCATCACGTCGAGGGAATATATCAGAGTATCAGTTCCACCTACACTTATTGTATCAGGTTTTATTATGTAAATTTCAGAGTAGTTAATTTAGTATTAAAGGAACTCCATTAAGGTCCAAAAGGGCTTAACCATTATTTTTGAATTCACGACATTGAACACCTGGGGCACTTAAAACAAGCAGAAAGGCAGTAAACAAATATACTCAAAAATAAGTAAAAAAAAATCGTAGTTTTGTGCTATTCTTAATCCTATTTGAGCGAAAAGCTGTGTCTTGGGGGTTATTTTTCACAAACAGAATAATTATTCTGGAAAAACGGAGTCAGGGAATGATCTGAAATTTTGAACTCAAGTCGGGGATGCTTTATGAAGGATTTACATATCCCTTAGTCTGAGTCCTTGCTATTGACTACATGTGGTCATAGAGTCAAAGACTTCTTCGGACTTTCGCTTAACAGTCTTTTAAGTACATTTCTTTCATTTTAATAACGACATGCTTATCTTATGGAAAAACTTGACATTTACTGAAAATGAGAAACATTTTACACACGCAAGGACCGGGATTACTTTTCATCTTTTTTCAAAAATTTATTGACAACAAACCTGCTTGCATGCATTTATATGTTCAATATAACTTGGAAGGTTTTTGTACTGTTTGGTATCTATAGAAAAAAATTAATGTCAATAATCAATATAAACGCACTGGACGACATAGTAAATAAGTATTATAGTAAGTAAAAACAAAAACAGCAAAAACTAGTTATAAAATTCAAAAGTATCTAAGCAGCTCTGACTTAATCATTTGAGTAAGAGCAAGTAAAAAAATATGAAATGGTTTTAGGATTCTTTTTTTCAGAGTTGCTTTGTGTCAGCAAAAATTGTTGTTATTTTACTGAATTGATATCGTTATGCATTATTGTATTACATATGCCTAAGACATAATCTTCATTTTATTCATTTTTTTAAGAGTAAGTGTATGTACAGAAACCACGCATAAATTGACCGTATATTTAACCACCGTTGTGTGCTTATATACTAGAAGCACCAATCTGTATAAACATATACATAAAACCTTATATGATGCTATACAGTTTCTTACGCGTCATATATTTCAATTCTAAATAGCTACAGAAGGCATTATGAAAGGTTTTATAATGTGCTTTCACGAAGGAAATAATATTCATGTTATAAGCTGTGTAACTACTGGGGGCATGTTTGCCATCACAATATGAACAAACGAACCACTTAAGTTTTTGTTATGTAAACAGTTTCATCAATAACACTATTCACGGGTCGATAATGATTCTAAATGAGGGAAGCTAGAATGTATTGTAAGGACTAAAATTAAATACAAGTTGCAGTGAAATATGTTACCATTGAGAGACAAAGGTGAATTTGACGCTTTCTCTGTAACAGATATTAACTTTGTGTCAAAGGGGACTTTGACGATTACTCTGATATTACCTTAGACATTGACGCCCATCCTGTAACAGATCTTAACTTAGAATGACAAAGTAGACTTTGACTATAATGTAAATATTTTGTTAATGTGTGTGTGTGCCAGTCAATGTTACTTTAACCATATCCATCACTACGTGTTTATTGTATTACCAAAGGGCATAGCACATGCGTAAATTCTATTAGCTGAATAGAAACTAAATTGACCTGTTTATAGGGAAGACATGTTTACTTTTCGTTTGCGATGCAATTAATTCTTCCATCAACTACTTTTCATAATGTTTTTATTATCATATTTTACATTGTTGTTTTTACTATTTATATTCAGT